TGACTTTGTAATTGTCTTATTTTTATTTGAACACAAATATTGGTACAAGAGGGCACCAAACATATATGCGCCACAAAAAACAATGAGAATGGGAGGAGAAAAAAAGGTAAGGAGCGTAAAAGAAAAAAAAGAACCATAACGACCACATTAGTGTAAGGTAGTGTAATAATTATAATTTTAATAATAATGAGGGAAACGAAAAAGTACAACCAGATGAAATCTTTCAGTTAAGGAAGATACAACCACTTTTATGGAGAAAGTAAAAGAAGGTTACAGCAGGATCGTCACTGGCTTCTATTCTGAGCCAAATCTGATAACGTCTCTAGCCACTGTGTCGCACCAACTCTCGGACCCCAGCCAGGGAGTTGTGAAGGAACAACAAAAGTCAGCCCTGTACAGCTTTCTTCCATACCATGACACCATGTCATACACTGACCACTTCTCCGCCTTTTCCAACCAGTTCTAGCGTCGGCAATTAATGCACGACGTGCAATTCTCTGGGACGACATTCGCAGGACATATCCAAGACACCGAAGTCTGTGTTTCAGGATGGTGTCGTCAACTGAATTATCGTCGCTGTGTCCGAACACACGATGCCGAACCTCTGCATTACTAAAATGATGGTGCCACTGAATGGCAGCAATTCTTCGGATACAACGATGATCAATCACAGAGAGTCGCCTAACATCCTCAACTCGGAGAAGCCAGGTTTCACAAGCATAGAGCGGAACTGCTCTCACCGACGCATTGTAGATCCAACCGTTTACAGCCAGACTAACATCACGAAGGCGTCAAAGGTGGCCCAGATTGGCATAAGCCGCTCTGGCTTTCATTATACGTGCATTGATCTCATCACTCACACCCCCACCAGCACTTATGCAGCTACCCAGATACACGAACTTCTCGACTACGTCTATCTGTTCACCATCCAGGGTGAGTGCAGGATTGGAATCCTGCCAGTCTTGTAGAAGTACTTTGCACTTCGAAGGTGCAAAGCACATACCGTACCTAAGGACACTGATTGCCAACTGATTAAGTACGGATTGCATGCCTTGGGCATTATCGCACAGTAAGACAATATCGTCCGCATACTCAAGGTCGAGAAGTCTTTCTCCAGGCAACAGATCCACACCACCATTACTTACATTCATCAGAGCTGTTTCCAGAATGTCATCGATGGCAAAGTTGAGGAGGAATGGTGAGATTGGGCAACCCTGCCTAACCCCACTGCTCGAATGGGACAATGGAGAGAGGTGGTTGTATGCCCTCACTCTGCCTGAGGTGTTTGTATATGGGGCTTTTAGGATGTTAATGAACTTCTCAGGCACACTCTTCTTCAATAGACAATCCCAGAGAACAGTCCTGTCCAACGAATCGAAGGCAGCCCTGATGTCAAGAAACACTACGATTGTTGGCGGTGTTGTAACACTTGAAGGAGGGTGGAGATATGATCAACACATCCTCGAGCAGAATGAAAACCAGCCTGCTCCTCGCGAGTCAATCTTTCTCGGGTTTTGAACAACCTACGAAGTGGGACGGAAGCCAATAGCTTGGACGCAATCAGAAGTAGACTTATCCCCCGATAGTTGTTGCAGGAACGACGTGAACCCTTTTTAAAGATAGGGACAACTATCGACTCATTCCATGACGTTGGTACACTCTCTAGTTCCCAAACCTTTGTAACAACACCGTCAGTTCGTTAGTCAGAAAGTCACCACCATCTTTAAAATGAGCCGGAGGTAAGTCATCTGGGCCAGGTGATTTGTAGCGCTTCAAGTGTTGGAGTTCCTTGCGGACTTCCACCTCATTTGGTGGATCAGTCGTCACCGGCCATGGAGGTCAAGACAGTCTGACCGATGTTGCCGGAGCACCAGGCCAGTTGAACTGCCCTTCGAAGAATTCTGCCCACCGTCCAAGACGTCGATGGATGTTAGTGATTGGCACCCCGCCATCTTCACAGATTGTTTCGCTCACACCAGACTTCTTGCTGCCGGTGGCTCAGATGAGTTGGAAGAGCTTGTAGTGGCATTGGACAATAGCCACACAATCCACAAAGCTGTGAACACGAGACTATGTAGAATTATGGTCTACTATGATATTAGTACTGCTCTAAAAATAAACCTAATCCTAAACTTGTCGATTTGTCATGATATAACTGCCTAATCTATAAGATCTTACGTGGAAGTCACACCATCGACTAAACCAACTCACTGTATCGTATCAATTACCAATACATGATGTAGAACAAGGTTAGGCTAGAGAAAGAACAATATATTTTATATGAATAGAAGATATAAAGTAACATTGAGATGGACCACGCCTGCATGGTCGAGCCATGCCATCCGATCAACTCCAATCCATTCAATTCATACTTCGCGCCTTCTCCATTGTTAGGTATTTCCTCGAGTTAAATATTGAATATCCATTTTCTGAGTAGTCTCGTGTTCACAGCTTTGTGGATTGTGTGGCTATTGTCCAATGCCACTACAACTACTCAGAAAATAGATATTCAATATTTAACGCGGAGAAATACCTAACAATGGAGAAGGCTCGGAGAATGAATTGAATGGATTGGAGTTGATCGGATGGCATGGCTCGACCATGCAGGCGTGGTCCCTCTGAATGTTACCTTATATCTTCTATTCATATTAAATATATTGTTCCTTCTCTAGACTAACCTTGTTCTACATCATGTATTGGTAATTGATACGATACAGTGAGCTGGTGTAGTCGATGGTGTGACTTCCACGTAAGATCTTATAGATTAGGCAGTTATATCATGACAAAGCTACAATTTTAGGATTAGGTCTATTATTAGAGCAGTAATAATATCATAGTAGACCATTATTCCACAAGCTTCCGGTCGTTACCAGATGCAGCTGCTGCTTCCAGCTCATTAGCACGCTCCGACCACCAGGCTTCTCGGTCCTTAAGCAAGCTTTGCCCAATTTCGCTACGTAACAATCTTCGTTTGTGGTCAAACTCACGGTCACCCGGAGTAGACCGACAGGCTTCAAGGAGTTGTAAGGAGCCCGAAGAAATCCAGTGCTTATAAGCGGGACGTTTCGCGAAGCCGCAAGCGGCTTTACTCATTATTGTCATAGCGTCATGCAATTGCAACCAGTGCTCATCTAAACTTTTGGTGGAATAGTAGCTAGCCTAGAAAATAACTCGGTTCGATACTTACTTGCAACAGAAGTTGCAACCAATTTGCTGACATTAATCATCTGGTGGCGGTCACTTCGTCGGCCACTGAAAAGTAAGGTAAGATTGGCGCAGACCAAGGCATGATCAGAGTTCAGATAGGTACTCCAAAAGGAGCGGCAGTCTTGTACACAACCACGCCAGCTGTAGCTGATCGCGATGTGATCAATCTGAGTCCAGGCTTGGGATGCAGAGGGAGGACACCAGGTGGCACGTCGACGATGACTGTGACGAAAATTAGTGCTAGCCAGAAACAGGTTGTGGTCTGTGCACAGTTGCAGTAGACTGTCCCCGTTATCTGTCCTGCGACTAACAAGTCGCCAGCGTCCACATAAACTGTACCTAGACGCCCGACCTGAGCATTCAAGTCTACGTCTAGTACCACAATATCTGTCGAACGCAATTTCTGGAGAACAGTTAACTGATGGTGGAATTCATCCTTGATTGCATCCGGGCTGCAATCTGTCGGCGCTTAGGCGGAGATGAAAAGACATCGTTTTTTCACACTAATTTCTTCTCACTTTGATGGAAATTTCTAATCTAACAGCACATAACCGACTGTTATTGGGGATCCAATCGATTTGTGTTGCCTCAGTTCTAGCGTTTAGTACGACAACAACGCCAGCAAGACCAGACGAAGATGCCACAGGGTCCCCGGACAAACGCATGTGAAACAGGCTTTTTAAAGCGACAGGTGGAGAACGAATTCGTAGTACCTCACCAGAGTCTTGAATACGGGTCTCGGACAGACAACAAACATCAATATTAAGACTTTCCAAAGACATAGCCAGCCCTATCTGTTGTCCGACCTGCATAAGTGTGCGAGCGTTGAAGGTGGCCAGTCTGAATGATGCGCGTGGTTTCATAAAAACCGCTTCAGTATTCGTATTTGGTGGTAGCATACAATTCTCAAACGGACAGTGACTCGAGAACGTTTAGATAGAACCGAGTTTCTACCATAAGCGAGCTGCTGTATAAGTCGAAAAATAAGGATACACAAAGTGGGAATAAAAGAGAGTGAATAAGTGACTGATATTCGCTTTTCGTCCTCTCATTTGCGTAAAAACACCCCCGCCACGAGAAGGCAATGGGTAGGGCTTCTCTGGCAGGGGCTGTATACGCGTGGCCGTTCGAGAGCAATTCGATAGGGAGGGCACGCCCACCCCACTCTCCGCCATACCAGGGCATTTGTACACAGTTTTCGTGCGTCCTAAACTTAAGTGCTGTATACAAGAGGCTATTCTCTGCTCAACAAGACAGTGGTATTTCGGAAAAGGTTCAAAGAACAGCAACTAAGCTGATCCCAGAAATAGCGATGCTCCCGTATGATGCTCGACTGGCTAAACTGAACATAATCGAAGAGTCAGCGGTGAGTTGATCACAGTTTTTAAATTACTAAATGATCAGTTTGCATATAATATGCCCTCATTTTAATTGTCTTCCAAGACAGAGAACTTACGAGGACATTCCAAAAAGTTCACAAGCACTGGACAAATTACTTGTCAGCTGACTATCAACCCTCTCATCGAATCATCAGCAAGTGGAATTTATTACCTCAACACATGATCGAAGCATCATCTGTCAACTTTTTCAAAAGAAATTTGGGTGAACTGAGAGACCATCTTTGCCAGGACTAACACAGGCCACCTATTCTCTGGTCCTTCCCAATCTGAAACTGAAGGCGCCTAGACGGTGCATATTTTGGTATCAGCACAAGTTGAGTGGTTGCTTAATATTTATTGAAAGTAGACTGAGTCAAAAAACAGTTTACAATTTTATATACATCTATTCGACAGTTCTTGTATTTGGACTAATCCTTGGGACCATAATATTGGGTATTGAATGGATGGCCTTTAACTAAATCCGCAGGTTCACTTTCGTTTCCATATTTGTTGGGGTTAGTTTATCCTTTGTTATTTATGGTCAGAAAAGTGACCTAGATTTAATAAACTGGTAGTTAATGGAACTCCGCGTTTGTTTTCGTTAGTGCTTTTTGTATTTTACTCAGCCACCGCTGAACAATATGGGCGGTTTACTGTTAACAGACATATCATTGTCCTCTGTAAATTCTAAAACACTTTGTAATTGGATGTGACATAAAACTTCTAGTGTATTTGATCCGTAACGCTGATGGCGTGGAAGTATTTCTCAGTAGTTTTCACAAGCCTTTGGCATGCATAATCGCTTCTACTAATGTCTAAATATCCTTACACAACCTGAAGATTTGTGAACCCGTGATTCTCAAAAAATCCTAATATGTAGTCTTTGAGCTGAGATTGCCCGGTAATAAGTAATGATAACACTATTAGGTGGTTGCTTTGCAGGTCACTCTCTTGCTCCCGATCTGTCATGTTAGTGATGCTGGTAATTTTTTCTAGTTGTCAATAGTCCGTCTTAATACTAGCGTTTCACCATCCCAAGTTTATTATTTCTAAGTACTTGGTTTATTGACTTAGTGTGTTAAAACCCATCGAGTTGTTTACTAAGCGTTAAAATATACAAGTTCGCCAGGTCACTAAGCTCTCGTACTGTTGAATTTACGTCCGTGAATACTTTTGAAGACGTGTTCTTTATTGAATTTCTGGGAATTATACCGCTTGTACGTGAAAATTCTGCTCACTTGATGTGTTCTGTTGAAAAACTTAAAATTGGCTTTAAGCAGCAAGTATTCAAAAAGTTCTCTAAACAGGTATGTTGATCGACAACTCGCTAGCCTCCAGAACGTACATCATTGTGGATAACTTAGTCGTTTCTGCTACCATCTACATTACGGTTGGCAATGTACGTTTTACCCATCTGGATTTCGAAGTATCTCGTGTTCCTAGAAAATCGCGTAGATTGATGTTTGGTACGTTTCACTGCATTGCAGCAGTTGGTCGGTCACTTAGAGGAAGCCTATGTCATCCTCATCATTCTTAAATGGTGATCAAATTCTATCGATTGTATTAACTTCACTCAACTACCAGAACAGTACTCACACATCTTCCCTGAAGGAATTTCCTTGAATTCCTTAGGAGCGAATAGTAAATCTTCCACCTGGTTGTGGGCGATACCAGTGGATAAATCGACGGGAAGTAAAAGCCGAGTTTTGTTAAGCCTAATGAGTTTATTTCATCTCAAGTTAGGATTGCTCTCGGTCGGTTTTTCCAGTCCCAATAAGCATTTCGCTCATCAATGTACGACATTTTAACCCTGTCGATAGTCCCAATCAGGAGCCGAGGAACTGGTTCGTGTGTCGATGGGAGTCATGAGGCCGTGGGGATACAAGTAAAAGGCATGCTAGAGTCATCATAGATGCAAAAAACACCGTTGCCTGCTACATGACATCAATACGGTTAGAAATACAAAGGACAAGGCGGCTATGGAAAACTAATGTTTACTAAGCCACTCCAACCGAGTGGGTTTGGAGAGTAGTCTTTGCCCGGATAATATCGGGGTACAAAGTTGCATCATATGACCTTTCGGATGACAGGTCTGACACAACCTTGAAGTTGGAGTATTTGAAGAGCCAAACACCTGTGGTAATACATTTCATGAGTTGCAAAAAGGCTGCGAAATTTACAAGTGTGTAATCAGGTGAAACTAATATTAAGGTTAAAAATGCCTTAGTTGTCGAACTACTTTTGCGGAAGACAGACGGATCAAGGACAGACAACTTGGAAGAGTGACCACATCTAATGAATTTTCCCCTTCAAATCTTAGCCAGTTGTGATGTAATAGAAGCGCATTAGCTTGCAGACCACACACCTGTTGGAGTCAAACTCATCTTAGCATGTCAGTTACCATGGTGATGGATAGTAAAGTTTTAGACCTGTGGTTAACTACAATATGGCTAAATATGTTAAGAGATAGATATAGGGATGGTTGCAGTAGTCGTGATCATTAAAGTGACTTAAGGCATCAGGACGTTAGGACAAAATCCTTCGGGTCTGTCAACTGATCAAACGCAAACCCATCGAATTCATACTACTTTATATTGTATAAAAACTAAGAAGGGAAGTTACACTGCGACATATGGCCTCACTTTTGAACCTGATCTAAGTGAATGTATGAGAACCATAGTATATTTTATGAACCGCCTGGTAATTACGCTAATTATTGAGTGTTTGTACCAGGATCAAGAATACACTGCCCTGGTAAGTACGTTTGAGTAGTTTCGACAAGGAAACAGTTCAAGACTGAAGAATCATGTATGAAGATGGTTTCGAATTAACGACTGAAATGCATAGGTTAAAACTAATCATTTTATTCTATGGTGTTCAGCCTTAATGCAACTTGTTTATTAATTTTCATTAACTAAATTTTATGGGTTATTTTATAAAGTGGTTGGTGACCTATTGGATTGGATGTAGAATTCCTGGGTCGTACTATTTCCCACACTGCAACTCGGTTCATTTGCAGACTTCATACTCAACTTTCATCCCATTTGTTCTGTGATCAATTTTTGTATTCATTTCCAATTATTCTTTTTTAGACGACGTTCTAAGATGAACAATTATACTGGACAATATGGATACATGTTTCCGATGCAACCAAATTATACTTGGGGTACGAATCCATTCCATCCTCTGTTTTATTGCCATTTGTCCAAGAACTTCGTTGGCATAAAAAATAGTGCAACGCAGTAACCAAGCGGAGTATCATATACTGGCATTGAGCCAAACTTTTGTACTGAAGCTTGTTGCTCGGCTTGTTCACTCGAAGTGGATGAAGCAAGTTTCCGATGTGTGGTTAAAGGACTCGAAAACTAAATCCTTCAAGCACAAAACCACTACTTATGTATTGAGGTTTAAACAAGCCCGTCATTTTCAGTAACCGAATCCTCGTGTAGTTTTCAAAAGCCGAGTCCCTAGACTGAATAAAGATAGCAGTCCACAAAGATATTAGCTACTAATCTCAGTTGTGTAGCGAAATGCAGACTCGGAATGATGGGAATCATTTGACTCAATCTATCTCAGCTATCGTGGTTTTATCTATGACTTGTTTCACTTCTCCCTTTGCTACTATCGTTTATTCTAACATCGTTCTTGTCTTTTGTTGCTGTAAATTGTTTCAACTTAAACCGATGTAGTCATGGAAAGCTATACATCAGTGTTTCTATATGTTACAAGCACCAAATAGGTGTAATAAACCCTTTTCATGGATGTGTGTTGTGACTAAAGTTAATCTAATCAGGCGCATAATAAACTCCTTGAAAGCTGGGTGATAAAGCTTCTTTAGTCTGCCCATTTTAACTTTCAGTGCTATAATCAGGACTCAAAACTTTCCTCCGTATTCATAAAAAAAAAGACTAAAATCTGGCATTGGCATATCACTCGAATTCTTTAGAGAAAAGAGAGTTCGCAAAACGGAATTCAAGTAATTACTGGTTCAATAGGGCTCTTGTGATGCATCAAAGGCAAACAAATACTGCTTTGTCGATAGTAAGGAATCAGGGAATTTGTAGAAGGTTGTCTACGTTTTTATAGATCCGCACTCAGTCACCTCATGAATTGGACCTACTAACGTTCTGAGGATTCTCTGGAGTAAATTATAGATTGGATATAGTACACACGTCTCTAATACGTCATTCGGTGATGTAGTTTTGTTACTAAATTGTCGCCTCTAGACCAGTCTTAGTAAATCCAAACACATTAAATTAATTTGTCTCGATTATTTTACCTTTGCTGGTCTTTGCTACAAACTAAGACACTTCTCAATCTATTCTTATTAAAGTTGCTTTCGCGCTTTCTAGTTTAGGGATGTAGGAGATTATCGTGCACATTAACCACTTCATTTGATGAAGTTGTATACCTTCGGAAAAGGACACGGTCAGAGCATAAGTTATTTGTGCTAAACTACTGTTTGCTCCAACGTGGTACTCTGACTAACGTAGGAGTAATTTGGGAAAGGGATTGTGGGCGAACAAAGTTGAAGGCTCCCTTGATCTGCAGAACTGTTGACTTCAGTCATGTACAGAGATGTCATCCTTGCAATGGGTTTTTAAGGATACTGTAGGCAGTTTCATGTACATCCACTTTTGTCCAAAATTTCGGCACCACACACTATATTTCATTTATTGTTTCTACTTATTTAGTTTACTTTGTCAAACTTTTTACTGCTTTCAGTAAAGTTGAGTGGTAGCTAAATCGGATTTCAAGACAAGATTAGTTTTACTTACAGCTCGTCATTTGGGTGTACCAACATCCCAATGTTGATGTTTACGCTGGGACTCCGCTCCAAACACCGTCGCATTATCCAGTGAGCTACTGAGTCCAGGTAGCCAACGGCTTGTGAACAACACTAAGGTGCAGGTACATTCAGTTGAGTTTCAAATGAGACGAAGTACTTGTTCTGGACCCCACTCTTGACCATCATTCAACTTTACTAAAAGTACTTGTGGTTAAATGACAATATCTAGGCTCTCCACACGGGATATACATATTCCAACAGAAACTTGTATTGCAACCCTTAGAACCAACAACAGGAATGATTCAGGTGTACAAGTGAAATAATATTACTGTTGTCACTATTTTCCTGTTTTCATTTCGTTCTGTGTCAAAACCTGACTTGTGACTATCTACGTTTTAGCTCTCTTGTTTCTTAGGTCGACCGAATAATTGCTTACAACACATTAGGTTGAAGTGAGTCATTAGGCATCATATCATACTGGTATTTGGTTAATTCTGATACTAAGTGACATTTAGTCCACCTTGCATAGCTCAATTAACTGTTCTCTTTGTTTAAACTGCCAGTACATTTCTAAGTGGAGTAGTTAACACATGCAAACGTAATGACCGTATTGTCGGTAGGGATCGACAGCATCTCCAAATTTTGTCCTTTCAGCACTTGTGATTTGTTAAAACTTTTTTAGGTCCAAACCAAGTGCATACACCTGTTCAAGAGCCACAATATACCTATGGTTATGACTCTACTAACCAGCAGCCCCCTCCGTACACTGACTATATGGGACCCCAGGTAAGTTGTATAAACAGTTAAATTCAATAAATGTACGATCGTTAAATATGGTTGTGAGTGATTTTGCTTTCCCAGCAATTGTTGTGATGTACAATAATGCGTCATACTGAAGAGACGAGCACTTCAAAAACCATAATTATTCCTTTTAAAAATAAATAGGTTTAGATTTATAAACAACTTTGTTGCAGATGAGTCGTGGCATATCCCTATTTCCATATGTTTCACCATTTACAATCCATATTCGATGCTATCGACTTTTCGTATCCGCCATATCTAATTGGTTGTTCGGTACATTGAGGGTAAAATAAATTTTGTTACGACTTAGAATCATGCTTTTAGCACTTGACTGTTTTCTTTGTGCATCGTAAGTGAATTCAGTGTTCGTGTCTCATATTGGATAAAACAACACTTTTGAACATACGTTCAAAACCGAGTATGGGTTACAAAAATATGCAGTATGCTATAGTCGCAAGACTGGTTGAATCTTAGGAAAATTGTATAATCACAGTTGTTCATGCACTTAGTTTTGTGACAAAAATGAAGTCAACCCGAATTTACGATAGAAACGTTCGGGAACCAAGTTGTTACATGTTAATATACAATCTTTATAACACTCAACCTTTGCTTAAGATTTCTGTCTATAGTTCATAGGTCATTCTTTGTAGGTAAAGTGAAGCATAAATTCGGAGGTCATCCTCCTCAGTTTAATCTTCATTATTTAAGTTACATTTAATATACGTATCTTACTTCACGAAACTGTATGGAAAAGTTTACCAGACAAATGAATTCCGACCAAACAACTATTTTTTTAAAAAGTAAAATTTACGTTTTAAGTTTTTTGAAAATCACTTTGACGATATTATATGCACATCGAGGGTGTAGTTTTTTCAGCTTTGCATATACAGTGTCTGAAATGATTAAAATCGGATTTATCAAGAAAACAGATATTACAATTGATATAAAACGTGCTAGTGAATAGAAGGTATACATATATTTGTCAGTCATTGCAAAGGTTTATGAAACACAGTCCTAATATTCCATCAAATAGTCTCTCCACATCCAGTCAGTTATAAACAAAATTTTAAATAAAAATTTCAATTAAATCCTAATTTTACTAAACTTTTTCTTAGGTACAAGATTATGAATCGCCCGTTAATGATTTTAATGGTCAGTATGGATATTCCACAAATTCCACACCTACTCAACCTGGTTATAGTGCTCAATGGAGTAAGCTGCTTCTATTCTTTTCCATACTCCGAATTTTTCTAACTTTTGCTCTGATATGTTATGTGGTCGAGTAGACACCATATATTTGTTTAGTTTTAAGGTTTTCCAACTCACGTAAACGTAGATCTTTCCTTTTTCAAACTAACCACATTGTTTTATATCCAGTCTCATCTTTTCGCATTTGGAAGCAGTGAATACAACTCTTTCACGGAATGTCGTCTACTAGATGTGACTACGTCCTCCGTCATGCGAGAATGTTATTGACATCTATAAAAACCGTGATCCAAAAAATTTCAATACTGTTTTGTGTGAGCTTTCACCATTGATCTTTTTTATACGGTTATTCTAAAAGGTCGTTTACATCTAAGATTTCTTTAACATAATTCACCTGTCGTAGTTCATCATAAGAATGTTATTTTTAAACATGAAGCCTTTTTTCTATAAATAAAGTAAGCTTATAGTTATCCCCCTCTCCCCTTGTGCAATACAGTGAAAGATAATCTCGTGCACGTTGTGATTGAAATAACTATTCTGTATATCGAATCCAGTTAAACTTTTGCCCAAGCAAACAGCATAAACCTCTATACAAACGACCATATCCAATAAATTTCTTTAAAAGTTCGTATATTGGATTAATGCGACTATCATCCAGTTTTACTCATTCCTGCCAGTTTTTCATGTTTCTGTCGCAAAGATTTTAAAAACCATGTGCTTACTGGTGACACGCTTCGGGGGATGGGTTTCCGGAGTCCTAGTAAGAAACCGTGATCACTGGAGTTCAACCGTGTTGAATGTGAGGCAGTTACCCACCAAAGATATTGGAAGGTAGTCGTGGGTTGAATGAAAGTTAGACTTGTGTACCACTGGGTGCCTTGTCATTGGTCTGGAGTTCAAGGGTTCGCATACGATACCGATTGTTTTTAGGTCCAATCCTGTGCGGTGAGATCGTGAACATCCATTGCGTAGTTCCATACTAAGGTGAAACTTCCATACAGTCCTTCCAAGTTTTCACTGATTATCTAACTTCGGCCTGTTAGTGACCTCAATAATCTCCACGACCCCAAAATTGATAAACATTTGAAAAGTACGTCACATCGATGGGTAATCTAGGGTTAGTTGCTTCAAACGTAAGCTTGTCAGAGATATACTATGTACCATAAGTGATATTCAGTAAGTTACCTGTTCCTTCTGTTTTAATGTGTCTAATTCTCTCTAAATTCTCATACTGTAAGTTTTACAAACTTCATTCATCCACCTTTACTCTAATTACTTTCTTTGCATCTCATGCAAACTAATTTTATCTTTTTATTTTTAGGTGGGAATCAATTCCAAACTCCATCACATGATTCAAGTTATTGGTATCATTCTCGTGAGCCACCAATCAATAGTCAACCACGATATCAACCTCCTCCGTCTACACCTATACTTGAACAAGTAATTACCGATTTAGTGATTAACGCTTATTATTTAATAATTCCTAAAGTCATTGAGATTTAGATTTCGATCACATAATTTTTTTTATTTATGTGTTCTATTAAAGAATAGAAACGACGTATTGTATTGTGTTAGTGTGGTGGACGCTACTCACAAGATTGATTGTAAGTAGTATGTTGCGGAACATGGTCTTAAAGTTGTTACTTTCGTCAGACGGCTTGAAGAGTTTCAGTACATCGAAGGCATGATGTAGGCAGAACACTTGATGACCAGACGATAGGACAGTTTGGACTTTAAAACACACAGCGAAATGCAAGTAGATGATCTAAGGCTGTATATGCTTTATGTAAACCCTTTGTAATTTCTCTTCAACAATCTTTCTGCTCATAGTCCTGTTATATATTAGTAGTGTAAGGCTGTCAAGTTTTCTCAGCGCTATTTATTTATTAATATATTGGAACTTTTATTTTAGTGATTTAAATGTTGTATTGTACCATTGTTTTGTTTTTACTCTTTCGAAATCACATTAACTCACAATGAATTGGTGACATGTAGTTGGGAAGATAATGTTCAGTGTTCACTTGATGAATGTTCCTGCGTACTCAGCTAACTCTTGAGTTTGATAAATATTACATAAATGTATATTTTGCACGAAATCGGTGACTTTTATTTAACCTAATTTACAAAATCTCTATATTTTAAGGAAAGGTCACAATTTGACCATATATGCTGATAAGTTTAGTTTAGAATTTCACAGGCTTCCCAGTTTAGTTTAGTTTAGCCTTTACGGTATTATTTCATTATTGTTCACAGGGAACAAAGTCAGTCAACTTTTTAGATAAATAACTATGATATTACTGGTTATATTTTTTAAAATGAAAACAGAGTGGATGGATTTTAATTTACACAACTTAATCCTTCAAAGTTGTTGTTTGTTGTAATATCTATTATTGAGCTTTGGGTGACTATGCTCTTTTTATGTTACTTATTTTTACATAAGTTGAATAATTAGTCTGTTCTGTCGAACGGTTTTGTTTTAGAGTTTTTTTGATCACTTGTTTTATTTCTCAGTAATCAAAGCAACTTGAATTTCAACCAATAAGTTCCAGGTTCAAATATTACTTCTGTTACTGTATTTGGATAACCGGGTTATAGTACCCTCCGCCCAGAATCACCAAACTAAGTACACATAGTTTTACCTGTTAAATGAGTAGTTAAAAGTTCTAAACAGATTTAACTATTTGTTTTCACTGTCTTTTTAGAATCGAAAACCTAAACTACGAATATACTGTAAATACTGTGATGTAGCATTCACGGATGAGCATACTTATTCCATACATTTGGATACTGAAAGGCACATCCGTAATTTTAAACGTAGCTTTAATACAACTGAAGATAGAAGGGGTAAAGGAAAGTCTAGAAGTGACTACCGCAGAAGTAATGTAAGTCATTTCATTTTATATTTATTCAGTTGTAAAGTTTACACATTTCATTTTCGTATGTTGGTTTGAATAATTAGGTAGGGTCGATACCATGAAAACCTGTCTCCAAACCTAGCAGACGATTTTCATTTGGTTACAAGTGTTCACAAAACCAAAATCGGTTCAAATAGCCTCACTGCACACTAGATAATACAACGTAAGAAGAACTCTAAACAAATGAAACTAATGAAAAACTTATCTGTAATCGGTTATAGACTATCGCTGGAAGTTTCTAGCGGTGAATTACTACGATTTCACATCGAACTGAAAAATAAATCATTCTGACATCTATTCTTCTTCCTGTTAGTAACTGTGTATGTGTTGTAACTCATCCCAATCATTCTTGTTTCTCGAGATGAAAATCCAATGGATGAATGCTAGTAACCTGTATATGTATCATACTATGAGCATTTATGTACCTCGATCATAAATTCCAAAAATCATTTTTAGTGCAGTAGTCATCTTTGATAATCTAAACTGTGTATCCATCATAAACTTAAATAATTGTATATCATGTCCAATTATTTTGATGTGTTATTTAAAAAAGACAATGACTTCATGATTAATTCCTTTAGGATTTCGAATCAGTACCTCATGTAATTGTATTACCAGTTAATTTGCTCTACCACACTCTGTTAGGAATTAGTTTTATTAAATTTTTAGAACAGAAACAGAAAACCTAATTTCTACTGTGAAGATTGCAAACGATCATTTCAAAGAAAAGAACAATACCTTGATCATATCACAGCAGAGGGACATATGAAAAAGTCTGATCGTAACAAAAATGAGTCAGACGAAGGAGAATCTGTAAGTGAAATACATGTCGCGAGTTTTTATGATTATCATCTCATTTTACATCTATTGGGCTGCAATTGCTACTCAGCTTTATTGACCGGGGTTACTAAATTATACTTCATAAGTGGTTACAATTTGTATATCATCGGGAATTTATAGAGTCAATTTTACTTCCCAGAATATTTTCACCTAAAATGAAACTGAAGTGTATGTCTCAACAATTAGTCTCTCTTGTTAGTTCTAGAATACCTGAAGTTTCAATTTAGGGATTGGTTTCTTTCTAAAAACATGTTGCGATGTCTATTTCAGTTAATAGAATAGATGTGGACAAACTTGTTTTCGTAAAGAAGTTCTTATCCAAATTTATATTGGTTATCCTCTGTCTACTCTCCAACAAATTGTAGTCCAGTCGCATCTAAGGGCTAGTTCTGTTGCTAAACGTATAAGCGTAACCAACTGTATCGGTAAAATATTGTCTTGGATGTTGATATACTATAATCCCAGCCATTTAATTAAAGACTCGAATCATGCTCTCCCTACTTCGGTCTAAGTAACTTAGTGGTATCACTAGCTCTCATAATCGTGTACGATTCGAGGTTGATTACATAAACCTATACTTGTAATTAAGCTTTTTTTAAAAAAAAACATTTTAAGCGTTTTACAAATGTAGGGTGGTTGGAGACCTAAAAATGGTCCATCACCACAATAATTTCATCTTCGAAAATTCCTACTCAGTTTATGTAGGGATCATTGTGTCTACATGATATACCACATACTTGGGTAAAATATGTCAAAGGCTGACTTCGTTCCGTTCATGTCGCGACCATATTTGTCGTACCTTCACTCCCTTTCGAATGCTTATTTTGCGCTGTATGGGCCAATAGTCGTGTTTTGGATATCAGAGTAATATTTGAATAGGGGTTTTCCAATTCAGTCATGTGTTAAAGATGGTTGTGTCTGAAAATATCGGTGAATTAGAATCCCTATAAAAAAACGCCCAAGGTTTAATGATGATGTACAGTCACCTCTGTAACTTAACAAACTACTGGAGAGATTGTTTAATCGTACCATTTCCCTGATTTTGTCATTAATGACATTTTGATAAGTAGCTCCAAAAGAAATTGCTCGACGACAGTGTATACTCGTTACATGATGTGAAAGTTAATCCCGAATATATGAATAACATTTTTTTATTGGACAGTGATGTATCGGTTGTTCACATCGTACTTAATCATCTATTAATTAGCGATCTTAGATACAATATGTATTCAATACTATCTTAGTTTAAAGTACTTATACAAAACTGTTAAATAGCTTATACACACTTTAAAGTAAATCGTCGAATGTACTTTAAAGGTCCATTTATCTGGTTTATGCTGTCTAATTAGGATCTGTCTTATTATAAAAGTCAAAGTAGTGGTGCATACTTAATCCATATTACCTTTGGTGTCATTGTGATGCTGGTCGGTACACTACTGCAGTATGATCATTTTCATGGGATGCTTATCAAATTGAACATTTTTTGGTTAAAAATGTCATTTTATTTCGTTAAAAAATGTGACAAAAATCTCACATTATAAAGTATGTTTGTCACATATTTCGTTTCCAACAATTTTTTGATCTGTTTGCAAATAATTAAACGATTTCAAGGAGGTTTTTATTAATGAGTTCACACAATGAAGGATACTTTGGGACCTAATGTTACAAGTTTGTAACTGGTTGTGTATTGTGATTTACCAACTTATATTTTTTTAAAAATTGTTTTCCTGAAACAAGCACAATGTTTAACCAAAGCCCCTTTAAGAGTAGATTCGTTACTGATTATTGGATTTCATAAAATTTATTGCTTAATCGTATTATGATTGATTTTAACAATTGAGATTTACCATGAAGTGTTTCTTCTTGTTCAAAACAGAAAAAGGCTCCAAGACGTACAGATTATTGTGATGTATGCGAACAAACATTTCAAAATGGTCGTCACTTTTATGCTCATCTAAAGTGGAAAAAGCATAAACGTCTTTGTAGAGTTGCTAGACTTTTAAGAGGACAACTGAAAAAGACACCGGAAGAAGTTGCTAATGATCCATTGGGTTCGTTCACATTGTATATGAATAAAGGTAAGTACTTTATCCTCGAAAATAGTTTTTCATTTTTAAGAAGCAAATTACTACTGTTCTTATTGAATGTTGTGTGTATTTATTGTTTAAGGCTAACTTAGAATCTAATTTAATCATTTCTCATGTAGTCGTTTAGTCTGTAAGTATTACTGTGTATGTATCACTAGTCTACATAGTATTGAATCCAGTTACACAGCCGTACTGTAGAATCTCACCATTCGATATCTGTTGGTCTATATTTTATTGTATTGCTTCAAGGTGTTTGCTATCAATTTTCGTACGAAATCCTTTCAGTCATTGTGTGATTCAAATCCACAAACTATATCTTCCAAGCGTCAGAGACAATTTCGTGGTCTTTGCACCTGTAAGCATATCAAACCAAAATAACTTTTCAAGTATTGGCATTCCCATGTTTTCTTTTTGTGGACTGACAAATATCCGTAAAAAGGATGACTGTAATATTTGTTTTAACTGAAGTATTTGAAAAAAATCATCTGATGTGCAGAGTTTGTCGGTGTCGTAAAATCAGTTTATGTCGTTACTCTTAGTTTGTTCATAAAATTTGTTGATCATTATGTTACTGCAGTTAGTCATTTATCCTAAATTTTTGATTTTAAATTTCTTCCAGACTGCTCTGTTCCATATGGGAACTATGGAGACTGTAAGGAAGTCGAATTGGATGCTGGAAATGCATTTTTGCAAAAATTCCTCGACTTGAAACATTTAATCTCTCAAGAACCAAATCCAGTTGGCGAGGAATTTATTCAGGAGGTAGGTTGAATGTGAAAAACATTCACCGAAAACTTTGATTCTTGACTGCCTCACTGAATATCCTGGGTTACTTGAGATGATAATGATGATAATCATAATAATTATCCAAACGTCTAATAACTTTTAATTAGTTATCGTGGGCTACTACAACTTTACAGAGTTGCTTCAAGGTGACTTGCGTTGTCTAGTTTGTAATCATTACATCCGCACGCACACAAAGATAGACTTTATAGTTAGCTGTAAAACCTACCAATTTTACCAACTTTTCTTATTTATTATTAGAGAATCTTTGGTCATCCGCGCATTTATGTGTTGGATTATTGTGTCCTTCCATTCAACAACAGAGAAAAAGCGTTAATCTGTGTAAAAGTAAAGTTATTTTAGAAAATATATATGTATATGTAAATGCATAGCAACATAGAGACGTAGTATCATTTACAAATATTAACATCCTATATCGATAAAACATTGGATCAATCCATGTAAACGTGGAGGTGTGAATACAGTGTGTGGCTATCGAAATGTTAAACTTCTCTCTGTCTGTCTCTCTCTCCCCCTTTTTCTCTCTTCACATACATCCTGAGATTGTGGTGTAACTAACAATTTATGCACAGACAACTTTGAATATTCAGGTAAGTCACCTTTTTCAGAACAAAAAAATAAGTAAATAAAAGTTTTCACTTTGTATTTTTTTTGACAACAGAGTCTTCCAAAGCTGCAGTATCCTTCTTTTTTTTAATTAACCATCTAGTTATTAAAAACAAACAAATCAGTATAATTATATAAAGAGTAAAAATCGTTCAATCATTGATATGGGTTCAAAATCACTATCCCTAACTATTGTTTCCTAAGTAATCATTTTTATTTCATGAAGAAGATAAATCACAATTAAGTCTTCAGCATAAAAATGTTTCTTGATTCATTCAATATGTTTTTCATCATTAATTTTAAACTGATATTCTGTCCAACTCTTTTAAGTAGCAATAGTATAGTGAACGAGAACTCAGGTGTGTATTTAATGCATAATTACACTGCCTTTGTAAAATATGAAAACTATACGTTAAATACATTATTTGCACATTTTCATTCATTCATCCTTTACGTGCTTCGTAATATTCTTGATTCTGTTGTCGTTATAATTATTCTTTGTTTACGTTTCTGTTCTCTTCAATTCAATCTTCTCAGTCTTCTGCAGGCATTCTACTTCTGACTGGTGTTACATATTACTTATATCTGTCAACATAAATAGTATACACCACAGTAGTGTGAGAAGTAGTAGTCTGTTATCATTAAATCTCCTCATTTTTAATAAATGCACCAAATAATACTGATTTTTTTTCTTATTGAAGGAATTATCTGGTTTTTGAATTGTCTGATTTTTACCTGAAAAATACAACACCATACTACTGTATCCATTAGAGTATTCCATCTCAGTAATTTCTTTAGGAATAATCAATTGTATATGATTATGCTTATGTTTTTGTGGAAGATAATTACTTCACATCTTTTCCACCACTGTTAATAAATAGATTTGTATTCCCCTACCGCACCCCCACAATCTACTGCCTATCTCCTATTATTTTTAGCAAGTATACAATACACGAGATTTGGAATATAGCTGTTCACTTTGTAAAGCAGATTTAATTGGAGCTGATGATATAGAAAATCATCTACGTACTCTTACACATCAAAAGAAATATAAGGAGAAATTTAATTTGGAGGAATTTGCATTTGAAGAAGAAATGAGATTGTCTGCATCCGATTCGGTTTTTGCTGTATGGAAAACATGTCAGTCTAGAGCTAGTAAAGTGAGCCAGTTTCTCGTTTATCGATCTCACTATTCATATCGTATTGTATTCTATTAATCAGTACGTAGGTTTGTGTAGATTATTGGATGTTGTTGACATATTAAACTACTGATTGGAGTTAGACAGACATGAAATGAGAAGCAATGTATTGTTCTTTTATCCTGTTATGGGACTCCTCAGGACTGTGCACATTTGCTACCCCGTCGACGACCGGATCCGGGAGTTTAGGTCTCGTGCACGAACGCTTGACCGTTAAATCACTGCTCTCAGTACCTCCTGGTTTTCAATATATGTCTTATTTAAGTCAGTTGATGATATCAGTCTGTTAGTTTAACAGTTCCATTCTTCGCTAACGGTTGTGGATTATCTATAAACATGTGTATGTTATAAAAACAATAAATTTTACATGGGTCTATCCAGAATTTGTCTTTGCTTTTGCCTAAAAAACATCAAAGATAGCTTTGTATTCTTTTTGTTTTTCTGTTTACTTTCATTTCACTGAAACTGAACTACGTATGTGTTCAACTGTCATACTGATTATATTACTGAAAAGAATTACTTTGGTGTGTTTTAAAACGAGCAGTGATAAAATTTCAATTGTTGTAATACCGATATACAAGGAGACGACAAAGTGACAATCACTTATTGAAAGAAACTGAATGTTTTTCTTGCTAAACGTGTTGATAGACTGTAGTTTTTAACATAATGTTACTTTTCATTCTCCATTAATAGGAATTGGCAAGAATTATCGGAGAAAAAGGTTTTCATTTATGTGTTTGTGGTTTCCGTATTACTTGCTATGATGATATGCGAAAACACTTTCCAATTAAATACTATGATATTCATCCACGAATTCGTTCATGGAAAAAAAGTTTAGAAAAATGTATTCGATCGCGTGCTGATCGTCATAGGATTGATTATAGAGATTGTTACGTAAGTTACCGATGACACGCATAATTCGTATATATATGCACGTTAGTATCAGTTTGTTCATTTTATTTGGACATGTCTTTGAGTATATAACTACATACCTTATTACAGATTGCGCGATTTTTCGTGACAAAGAATCTGAGCACAGTGTGCAGTTTTTATTAATGAAAGGATATTTTCCTCTTTAGAGAGGTCATCAATAAATAAATACCATGTCACTTGATCTCAAGCATTTTCAAGTTTAAGTAATTAAGGTTTGTTTAGTTACTTAGTTGTTTGCTTAAACACTACTGTTCTTTATAAAAAAGGATTATTATATTTCACGTGGAGCCAACTCTGACTTGGTAAGATAACGTTAGGTAATCGTTGTAATTCATAAAGAGTACATTTTAATTCGCTTAATTTTCAAGTTACCATTTTTTCGACCAATTATGTTACTTCGTATTAGTTCGTTGAAGTAGCTAGACAATTACGAGTCTGTCCATGAATTGTTTTTAGACTTATTTGAATTCTAGCCAAGAACATAAAGTATTTATTAATCACTAAAGAACTCATCTTGAATTCATGAAGACTGGTTGTTAAAACGCTATTTTACACAGTCAATATCTAAACGTATGTTATTCTGGTAATATGTAATTTTAAATTAAACATAGGAGTCTTGTGCAGGTATTCAATTTTCCCAAATTGGGACATCACATCAGCACGATGCGATAAAAATATCAAGATGACCATCAAATTAGTAGTGGTTGTAGCATTGGTCAAATAAAAAATTCGATGTCTCTATATTCAATAAACGACACTTGTTCCCGTGAATAACAAGTAAACATACCATCTACAACATCGTGATTGTGTATAGGGGGACTCACATTTCACGCTTTTGTGTTCATTTCATATAACCTATATCTAGGTTTGTATAAAGACTATTTAATTATTCAGTCAATGAATTTTCCATTTGCTGTTTTCTGTGATCACATTTCCTCAGTGGCTTCAAAATTAGGGCTTATACAATACTTCCAACGGTTGATAACATACTGTCTTCTTTTTCAGACTATTCTAACTTTATTTGGACTCCCCAGCCACATTATTGATATGAAGAGAGAACATGCTTTAGAAACTGCCAAAGCTAAACTGTTAGAAGATTCTACAAAAGAAGAGTCAGCAACAGATGCTCGTGGAGATGGTGAAGACGAAGATGAGGAGGAAAATGACGATGAAGAAGAAGAGGAAGAAGAACGAAAGTCAGTCAAGGAAGATGAACCTCCTAAAGACCCTATATCAAATGCAGAGTGTGTTGAGGATACACATGCGGAATCGTCGTAGGATAGCTGCTCGTTATATGTTATACATTAGTTGTAAAATACACTAAAATGGTTATTTAGAGAACAAATTTCGTTCTCGCTTTTGTCAATGCTATGTAAGACAATAACCGGTCTTATTTTGCTCGTTTCGTTTATTAAGTGTTTTCATTTCACTTGCTCTTTCGTCAAATACTATCATCTTGTCTCATTTTTTCGATGCATTAATGATATTCTTTTTAATGCAGCATCATATCTACATTTCTAAATTACGCCCGTTCCCGTTTTTATGCATTTGTTATGTTTGAGAGTAGGTCGTCTTTTCTTCTTACTTAATTGGGATTGTTTGGGTTTATCTGTTCGCATTTGATGTGTACCATCTTTCAGTGCTTTCGAAAACTTATTAATGTTACCATGCCCATATTTTATTTCAACACAGATATTGATACAAGAAGGTACTAAATACATACGCACCACATCAATCATTGGATTTACGTGAGGGCTGGAATACTGTTCGGGTGCCCAGGCCGGTGGTTTTCTTAGGGAACTACACTCGGAGCCTTTGACCTGAAGGTCTAATCCACAAGGCAGTGAATCAACATAAGGTGATGCAGTCACATGGTAGCCGGTTACCTACCATTGGTTCATACATCATTTGCTCCCTAAGGATACTGAAACCCGTATGCATCATTGGTTTGGAATCAGGGTTTTCCAACTCCCTTAGGTGGACTATCCGGACATCCGCTTTTCGTCCTCTCAGTGAGTAGGGCTTCCCTAACAGAGACTGTATACACGTAGCCGTGTGAGAGCATTTCGAGAGGTAGAGCAGATCCAGTCCACTCTCGGCCATATCACGGCATACTCATAAGTAGCTCATGAAATTCGAGAAATCCCTACACTACAAATCAACAACATTGTTGTCAATTAGTACACCTATCGTCGCACTGTTGATGTCCACTCTACTCATTTCTACTTAGTCTATTCCAATGACCCATAAATCAGCTTAGTTGGTTTAGTCACGTATATGTGTATAGGTGTTATTGTATATTGAAGCCTGATGAGAATCTTGGTAAAAAAAAAACAGTATCTACCTGTACATGTTACTCTAATTCATATCTGCTGAAAAATTTTGAAACTGCCTGAAGTCGAATGTCTTCTGCATGATCACTAATTGATGACTTCTCCAACTGGTCACCCGCCGGATACTATGTCTACTGAAGTCACCTTCAGTGGCAAGGAAATTCCGAGCTTAGCCAACCAAAGTTAATAAACCCACTTGGCCAGTGCTCGTGGCTTGTTCTCTATACACTAACTACGTTTGTTACGCAGATAGGGTGTTGGGTGACAAACCGTATAACCTAGTGGTACATTTTTCATTTATTCTTTCTACATTGTCAGACTCGCCATGTACTGGATGCACCGCATGAAAATCAAAGCCCATAAGATTTCTGTGATGCATTGATGTCAAAATTGTAGGCACTGCTCTCCGGTAAAGTTCAGACTACTTTAAGGTAGCCTATCACTGACTGTCGAATAGTGCCTTTTTACTAAACAAAATGTCTGGTCAAGCTCCACGTTGTAGTGTCTGTCACCCTGTCAAGCCAGTATAAGTTATTCTAGCTCCCAGACAGACCAATCTACTCATCTTTCTTGAGTCACATTTTGTCTTGTTAAGTCATTCGCTCATCAGCCTTGGCTTTCTACGAAAGCGTTTGTGTGTACATTGCTTGTCCCACCAGTCGTATGTTTGGATTGTTTCCGTTTGACTATGATAATAGAGGCACGCTTGGTTGACTCATTCACCTGCATTGCTCTCCGTCTCGCCTTCCTCTTTGTCGCTTACTGTGGATCTGATTACATGAATGCCCGAAATAAATTCCTCCATCACCGTCCGTATTCGGCTTCTCACCACCATCATAAAAACGGAGTTAACCTGGGTAATATACGGGGTTAAATGGGAGGCGTATATTCACGAGTTTATCTAAAGTGGTGTCAGAACAGTCGACACCACAACATTTCGTTCGATAGGATATGGGTGTTTTTATATCAACTATTTACTGTAACTCCCACTTAAGTCTTCATTTTATTCAGATGTGATGGTCCGAGCACACAGTATTCACGCCGTTCTTATTCAGAGCTAGGTGTCCCTTACATTTTGCATTTATAAACGTGGCTCCACTCAAATTGTAATTCAGATTTCTTCACAACTCAGATAACTAAATCATAAATACCCTTATAAAATCCGATCACCTGTAAAGTTAAATGGGTACGTTTCTTACACTTAAGAATGATGTGTTTAGCACTGTAAAACAATGATCTGAATTAGGGCTTACTATTGCCATTTCAAATAAACTCACACGGTGACTTTGCGTTCTTAGGTGGGTGCTGTTACGACAGTGCATGTGAACTGATCATCAACTTTTTAAAATATCGTGGCTCACCACCGCCTCCGAAGCGAGTGTTGATACGTTTGATTTTTTCTTGTTCATGTAAAACCATCGCAGCTATACATCCGGGTATCTATCTATCAGTAGTCCCCGTTCACTGGAAATTAACAAGAATGACACTGCTACTTAACTTGCATAATCCTGAGTCGAAGTCAAACTGCATTGTTTCCATCATTTTTACCTAAGCCTTTCCATAGCAAACTTAAAGTAAGGGTAGGATCATATCAGGCTGGCAATTTGTTTACATACTACAATGTGCATAATAAGCGACCGGTTTCCTCGATGCTCTAGTTTAATTACTCTTACTGACCATTACTTCTGTAGTCAATGAATTCCAGTGAAGTATCCAATGTCCATTGATTAGTTTCTCTTGTTAGGGCACGCCTGACTCGTTAGATAGTTTGTTTAGAATTCAATATCACTCGACAGGCTCTGAACAAGTAAGACAGCTGGGTTGGGCATATCTGTATTTGTCATAAAACGAGAAGACTTCTTATGGCAAAGTAACCTAAAACCTAGTAATTTGCTGAACTACTATGAGTTGGCCTGTCCATTGATTCCATTGTATGGGTGGACTACCACTGAATTGCCTGCAAGGAAGCTTAGCATATCTCATGCTCTGAATAGTACTACTCCCACGAAAGAAATTCTTGTTAAACTGCCGGTCTGTCATTTTGTTAATTTCAGTCGTTTACATGTCTAAATTATAATCCACAATCCATTATCTTTGTGATGAGCTAGTTTAATCCATTTGATTTATTACCGATCACGTATTGGCATTATTCCACGGTTCTGAAACTTGCAATTATGAAGCATATATAGCGACTCACGTGCAATTGAGTTTAGTTCAGTCAAGGTCTTTTGTTGACCTATTTAATGGACAAAGTCATCCATGCTATAACAACTTGTACCGTTATTATTATTGTGTTTGAATGAAATACATATGCTTGAATATTGTTTAGCGAATACGCATGTATTCATTCTGATAGCTTCATTATTAACTGCTTAATCTATTCGCTGACTCATCCATTTTCCTATACATATATATATATATATATATATATATATATATATATGTGTACATTTGCATCCATTAACTACTACTACTACAACTACTTGCTACTGCTACAATCGTAGTTCACTTGCTCATTCATTTTGCCTCTCTGCTCTCTGGTCCGAATTATCTGTTAAATAAACTGTATTAGCTGCTTCTTTCTGCCTTCTGATCTCAAACGCCGTTGAAGATTGTACGATAACGGTTCGGGGGTGATTAGTTATCGAAGCACAGCCACTACACATACACTGTTAAAAGTTTCTTTCACACTTGTTGTGATTGAACTAAACACCAACAGGCATAAGTATGATTTGAATAGCACAGCTCACTGTTGGTTCCCAGTTATCAAGATCCCTGATGAATAATCGGAACGATCATATAAAAGCACGTGGTGCATTGTCTACAAAACAAAAACTGTTTGGTAATGATCATTATGGGATATCTCATACAGGAATTGTGCAGACACATTTTAACTTAAGAACTTCCAGAATGGTATAAATTTGGATAGCAGACGTTCTAAATGATCTAAGACAGAATAAAACCAAACATTTGCCAAATGGACGGAAACCTGTGAGAAGTGGTGTACAGTTAATAATGCTATTGATATCTGTTGTAAATAAATGCTACACTTACTTGCAACGGACAAAACATCAGTAATGATCTGAGAGTACTCAAACCATCCATTTGTCAATTAATTGAATACAAACAGGGGCAACTTATAAAAATAATGACAATAATTTATTCTCAATAAACATAAGTTACATGAGGCATAGAAACTTACTGGCAAGATCAAACTGCCACAAATCCTATGTAATTGTTTACGTGAAACTTCCTCAACCATTTTCTTTAGCCTGTTATAACAAAATTTTTCATGTAGTAGAGGAACAACAAATTTCCAGTGCATAAATAGTCTGTTGTTAAATTAGGGCTAAATTGTACAGTTTAAAAGGTGGCGGGCCTTATAAACTATGTCGCAAGTCTAAACTTTTGGTAGCAAATCCTTTAAGCGACATACATCATATAAAACCGACGAGATTTCACATATATTTCGGCAATTGTTTGCTACTGATCTCCAGGTAGTTGCTATAAAGGACTTCTTGTCAAAGTACGAGATAAGTTATAATTTGGAGTCATGTTCTTGATACGTAACTTAGATATTAAATTACGATCATGTATTCAATGTTTAAAGATGTGATATTCTGAGCACTGCTTCTTTTATTTTGATTACTCGCATCGAGTTGAAAAGACCACTGTCGACATTTCTTATGGAGTTGTGTTGACCAAAGCCGGTGATAATATCAACGATTTCTGGAGGTACAACAGCTCAAGTATAGAATTTTAGGCGACGTACAAACAAAGTAATTTCTCATTAATCTTTGTATTTCAGTTAGATTTGGAAGACCAGGATCACTGCGTTTCGAATCTAGTCTGTAGTTGCCTAGTTATAATCCTCATCAAGCACTATCAAACTATGTCTGCACAATTTACAGAATGGAAAAAAACCATATGTTTAAAGTTCTGAATAGTATCAGTATGAAAACCATTGGTCGTTATCTTACTATTCATTTACAATCATTTTTAATAAATCGCTGGACTTACTCTGATCTTCTGCACGTTTACGTAAAGATAGTGTAGAAGTATGAATGAAAATGTGGTGATTTTGCCAACATTATTCTTCAAGACGATTTAAATTTACTCCTCAACTAGTTTAGTAGTTAGAAAATGGTTGTGGTCAAAGTGTGGTAATCCATATCAACGGTTAAAGATAATACCCATTTTTAGATTTATAAATGACTCACTGGTAATAACAAATAATGCTTTGGAAATTGCTGTACATAATAAAAATACCGTGATAAGATCAAATAAAACTGGAAATACGTTCACATGAAATCTGTACTCTGAACAAATACAAAAGAAAGGATGATAACGGTCAAAAGGACGGAGAAATATGATCATAGGTCAGAGTAAAACTTACAGAATTAATATCTAGAAAATAGGAGAAACTTCAAATATGCTAAGTCGCTGAATGGAGAGGATGCATCATGGGGTGTATTTATCTAGCTAGATCAATGAAAAAAAGGTTTACAAAAATGTTCAATGATTTAAGGAGTGGGTACTCCTAGGATTTATTTATCCCGGGTATGAGCTGCAGTATCCAGCCCATATTTCATTGTAAATGCAACTTTCTAGTGGTTGTAAAAAACCAAATTCAGACTCTTTTACCCGATAATACATTTATAATGAAATTTTGTCATGTATGAAAACATTGGATCATTAAGACTAAAGATACCACAAGTATTTGGGGTTTGACAACGCCTTTACATGCAAAACCTTATTAATCGAAGTATGTCAACCCAGCCAAATCCGATGAGTGGCTTGCAGATGGTTGATTTGTTCATTTAGCTACCCTACTGCTTCACTATGGAGGACTTTTCTGTCACTCAACGATTTCATCATAACTACTGAGAATTATTCGTTGAGATCAAGTCATTCCTTAGGTCAAATCACATTATAAATTTGCAATAAATACGTATTAATAACAGTCCCGACGCTTTTTTGAACATTTTGATCCATCCTCAGAAATTTCCCTGATGTAAGTTCTCCTCTGCCAACAAGAAACAAGCCTCCACAGCTGCTGGTAAACTTCGACTTTAAGTTGATACTAACTATTACAACGACACCTGGATCAGACAGAACTTCGCATTCTACGGTAATGACCTTGTTGTTGAGAAGCTTTGCTTTTTAGCTTGCAGAATCTCCATAACTCCTTTTGAATAAGGGGACTCTTTAGAGTGACAATGACATTCTCTACCACTTGTCGGTAACAGGAGTTAGTCCAACGTGAGTTTTATGTTATCGTTCAGGGTAGCTACTCCACAGAGTTAGGATGTTAACACGTGAGTAACAAGTTAGTTTATCACAACGATTATCTCGTCAGATTATTTTTTGTGGAATGTCGTGGCGGACAAAGTATTATCAATTCCAAATAATGGAAATGTTATAACGAAGATAGAGACAATTAAGTACATATCAAAATATGAATTGTACACAAGGAAAAACATGGGGAGTGACTTAAATTGTCAGAAAGAAGTGTGTCAATAATGGTAATTATACAAATTATTCAAAACAATGAAGAATGCGACTAACAACAAAAACTAATTACAAGATAAGATTTTGTTAACTACCTCAAAAACAGCCTTTGCAAGTCTTCTCTTGGATCATAAAAGGCGCAAAAATATTATGTCTTTACTTCAGGTCGGACGGAGCTTCTAATTTGTTAGTTTGTATAGCAAAGTTGAAGGTTGAAGGGCGGTCATCAAGTTCCTCTGACCTTCACGAGGGAAAACAGTATGGCCGCTGTCAAAGTTTATATCATTTTATTGTTCTTTCACCTGTTGGTGAATACGTTAAATTTCTGTTATAATTACTGCATTCCACACTCTATTAGTGTAGTCCAACCGCTTCGATTTTAATTTAGTTGGTATTTTATCCGTCATGGTTTTTTCTACTCTGAAACTATTGTTTTCCTGTAGCATGTATATCCTTTCCTTCCCCTATCTGCAGAGACAGTAGCAGAGAGTTTGATAAATCAAGGGCTGTTTCAATATTTGGCTCCAGTTTCATTACCTGCCTTATGTTAGGCTTGTTTGACTCTGTCCCGACGCAAAGATTGGTGCGAAGCACCAGATATGTATGCGCCACACTTAGTTCGATTTGTGTCAGGGCTGGGACACTCTCCGGGTGCTCAAACTGAAGTCGGTGGCTTTCTTAGGATGTCACTCATCGAGCCTTTGACCGAGAAGTCTAATTTATAAGATAGTGGAGCAACTTTCGGAGATCCTATCTGGTGGTAGCCGGTGATCGACAGTGGGTTCGTACTCCATTTGTTCCAACAGCGCGTTGGAGCCCGTGTCCACCATTGGTTTAGGGTCAGTTTCCTCCAACTCCTCTACAGGTGGATCCTCCGTATCCACTAACGTGGTTAGAGCGTCAGACATTCGTTTTTCGTCCTCTCAATTTCGTAAACAACACCCCTTCCACGAGAAGGCAGGAAGTAGGACTTTCCTGTCAGTGGCTGTATACACGTGGCCAAGTGAGAGCATTTGGAGTGGGAGCGGACTCACCCTACCCTCGGTTGCACCAGAGCATTTGGGGGTAAACCACCGAGCCCGACGTGACATCAACAGATTCTTTACTTGCTAAGTAGGTTTGTTTATATTTCTTCCGTTTATACTTATTGCGAGGAGTACGAGCAAGTTACCTGAGCCGAAACAAGTTAATCGGTGTTATGACATACGACATTGTGGTTGATGTTTTGTTAAGTAAGAGTGGAACAATGAGTCAGTGACTAAGGCGTTTGACTTTCAGCCACTATGTCGCAGATTGAAGTCTCTACATCTATTTGTGCTCCGTTAACCTGGTAGCATCACTGATGCTCACTTGGAGTATGGGCTAAAGCCAAATACAAATTTTCACCTTGCAAATGAATTGGGACTTTTTACTGCAACCTAAAGTGCATGTTTGTATAGACTTTCAGTTCTTTGAATGTGTAGTCTTTTATATATTTAACTGTACTTATTGAGTTCAACACATTCACACATTTTTCGTGATATTCAGCTTATCGTACAGAGTAAACTACATTAAGTGTTCCATTTCCCATTATTTTAGATTTGTTCAAAATCAGAAGTAAAATAAACAGTAACATGGGACAGTATGGATATGCTACTCCTTTCACGGACCAGTGGGGTACGTATTGTGTTAGATCTTAATTGTACTGTTTTTCTACCGCACTCTGTATACAATGCGGGTTTTTCGAGGTTAAATATCCATATTCTTCGTATCTAATTGTTTTCTATCTATCTTGAAATTTTGAATTTGTAGGCTTGGATCACGTTAATAACCCACCAAAGAATCCTTATCTTGGTTACAACCATCCAAAAAGTGTAAGTATTCAAATAAATATGGTTTTGGTGAAGCTACTATGGTAAAGATTTTGATTCTTCGCGTTAACTTTCGAGCATCAGTGTTGTGGTTTATAATATAGCGATTCGATGCTCTGCTGGAAGACTGTTAAAAAGGAATAAGTTAAATGCAGATCGATCGATGGAGTGCTGTAATGCGTAGTGATTGCAATGGCTCATAATATTGACCTGTCGGTGCAGGTCAGTCGGCTACAACGTAGGACCGGACACTTATATGCATCGATCCCAGTTGCCACACCTCATTAGCACAACAAGATGAACACCAAGTTCATAGTAGTTACTTCAACGATAGTAACATATACAACAGAGATTGCATATAAAGATATAATATAGGAAGAAGGAATTAGTTCGTAGAAAGAAAGGTATAAAGTAATCTTCATCTCACTTTTTAAGAGAAGACAAAGAGTGTATACACCTACACCATTGTGATCGATTCCGAGACACATCACCCAACCCACTGGTTGTGATAGTCGCGCGGACCCCAACTAAGTAGTTTGCATCTATCAACATGGCTCAGACTAGAAGTTAGTGACTCCAACTGTCGATTCAGACCCCTAGATCAACTAGCCAACTGGCTACAATATACAGTTCTCTAGTCAAATAACACGCTTATAAACGCAATACACGCGTAAACAATTGTAACTAAATATCGTAAGTGACAGGATGACACGTTTTGTCAATCAACCATTTGATAACAAATTGGGACGTAACTGTTAGGTGTGCCTCAAACTATACTTCCCTTTAATTTTGGAAAAAAAGTGTTCCTATCCCTCACAGTTGTGACTAAACCCTTCAGTCAGAAAACTGCACTTGTTAACTGATTTGCATTATCAATACTGTTTGCTGAGATTGTACTTCGGTAATGTAATCTTTCTCAATCGACTGACTTACACAAATTCGTTCAGCTGTGGCAAGATTCTGGCTTTACTAACGTCACATAGTAGATCTGGTCCACATTGTAGCATATGAGTTTGTAAGAATAAAGGGGGAATAAAAGCCAAAAACATAATTTCGTCATATAAATGTCGGCGTGGTAAAGGTAGTAGTTTTCTAGTATCCCAAATGCCCTGGTACAACCAAGGGTAAGGTGATTCCGCTCCCTCTCCAAATGCTCTCGCTTGGCCACGTGTATGCAGCCACTGACAGGAAAGTCCTGCCTCCTCGTGGAGGGGCTGTTGTTTACGAAGTTGAGGACGAAAAACGAATGTCTGACGCTCTAACCACGTTAGTGGATACGGAGGATCCACCTGTAGAGGAGTTGGAGAACACTGATTCCAAACCAATGGTGGACCCCTTGATTTGTCTAGTTTCTCGCTACATTTGTAGATTAAGTCAATAACGCGTCTAAATATGTTAAAGTCACATACTTATCCGTGTACCTGATGTTTCATTTCCTGTTACACAATTATATACCCTACATGTTTTGATTCCACTCTACTACATAAGATTTTCGCGTAACCAAATGCCCAGAAAATTGCTGCAAACTATTTCGATATGAGTACTTAAATGTACATTTTGAAATCTTCAAATACTGAATATAAAGATCTGTCTTGTAAATGTTACTTCTTGCTGCTATTTTTGTAATTACTTACATCAATCAATATTTTATCCTCTGTTAAATTATTTCAGCATCCTTATCCCCAAATTGTACCTGGATCTTCAAATCCACCATTTCCACGTCGTAAGTTAAATTATGGGTGCTATTTTGTCTCACTGTCCGAGCGATCATTGACAGAGATTAGAGGTAATATGTTAGGTATCTTAATTATCGTCAGCGAATCGAAATTTTAAGTTTTTAAATTGTGTACATACTCCGATTGTGCATGTAAACAGTAGAAATCTTCAATCTTTTCAACACTGAGAATAGTGATTGGAATAATAATAATATTACAGTATCCAAGTTTTAGTTTATTTGAGTTACAGTCAGTAGCGAGAAGCACGACCCGTGTTTCGTCCTGTGTGGGACTTGCCGGCTGGCTATACCTGCCTGCTTACATTGATATTCACGCTGTGACTCGAACCCAGTACCTATCTCTTCAAATATGGACGCGTTGTCTCTTAAGCTTCCAAGTCCAGCTGGCCACTGACTTGTTGATTACTTATGATGTTAATCTGTAACTGTTTGTACTATCCCGTCTTTGTTATTCAGGGCTGAATTTCGATCAGTATTTGTCGGCATATATACATCTTGAGGGAGTCACCGTGACAGCTATTTTGTTGAAAGCCACAGATACTCTATATTCTGTAAAAAAAAGGACTATGAAAGTAATTCGCTTAAGATTCACAGATGCCAATAAAGACTGACCAACTACGATGCTGAACATCAAGACGAGGGACATGCAGACTATTAAGATCAACAGTAGTCTTTCTAAATAATTATGCAATCGAAATGTGTATTTTGCTCATTTTGAAGCTGCATGTTATTTTTCTGAACAAAATCGAAATCTGTAGAATCCTTTTATTTTCTGGCTACTTCAATTTTCACCATCTTCAACATCACATGATTAGTGTCGTAGTATGCAAACACACGTTGCCATGTTAACTTATGGCCTTTTTACCTTTTATACCCAGTTACTGCTTAAGCTTATATACACGGTGTAGCCTCTGAGGTGATATACAAAAATCGTCTCTTATTGACTGAAATCGGCGCTTCAAAATGACTACACTTACTAAATTATCATTTCTTTTATGTCTAAGCATATTTTACGTGGTCTCAGAGTTCTGTATTCTATTTTTGCTACCAAGTTTAAACTATTCTGTGTAGGAGGAAACCATAATTGATCTTAAATAGCTTTCAAATTATTCTCAACTCATTAAAGTCAGGTTTTATAAAGCACCAAAAATTACTCGCCTAATAACTTTGTAAACTGGATTTTCCATAGTCAGCGTCCAAAGATTACTTGGATGTGTACTAGAACTCTGGTTTCTCTTACTACTCTTCGATTTACTCTTAATCAGTTGATCAGTAGTCAATCTTCTGGATTTTTTAATTTTCAACAGGGAATAAGAATTCGAATGCATTGTGTTAACGTTCTGAACACTCATACAATGAATGTAACTTTGTATCAAAAAATTGACACATGTCAGTCGTCTTACCTGAATATCATTCAATAATGATAGTAATATCTTATTTTGGGACCATAAGATAGAAGACTAGTTGTGTTGATGTAACTCAAGTACTGATTAATTTAACTAGACTGTCTATCTAATATCAATACCCTTCGATTAACCAATGACATTGTGATAGTGAGTTAGCTGAGAATAATGCTTAACAATTATTGGTTCAGAATGCAGTTTCCCACACTCGATTGTCCGATACCCAGCATAAAGCATAACACAACAGGCAGATAATTTCTAACTATATAATTCCAAGTCCTGAATCACTCATAAAATAATATTATGTAAAAGTCTGACCACGTACCAACATAATTAAAAAAATTACGATAGGGATATAACTAAGCAATAAGTGGAAGGAGGACTAGTTAATAGGTCTGTTATAAAGTAACAGTAGACTAGGTAATATACAACAACAGTTTAAGTATTTAATAATCATACAAGAAAAATATAAACACTAGATTTAAATAAAACCGTGCCGAAAGTTCCATTTTGTGTAATATATATCGCGATATAGTATTTTCAGTTTACTCTTGTAATCAGTGACTGATTCTTCACCTCTTTTTCCTTAATATCTCTTCATACTACTTAGCTGGAAGTCAACGTCTTGCTGCTGCTCATCCACTACCTCCATCATCACCGCCTTCATTTTTCGTTGCAAGAGGATTTCAAAGTTCCAATCAACAAGTAATCTTTGTTATTCATTCATTTGCCTTCATTCTATGAGAGACTAATTGTTTTAATCGTTGTTTCAATAGTGTAGTTAAATATCAGATTTCATTGTTATCATTATGCAATGGTCCATAGTGTAGCATCCAATTTAGTGTTTGTATCTCACATATATATCAATAAGTTTGATAATAAATTCATTCAAAAGCGGAGATCCCTTCTCTGAACTTAGTGTTTTTAATGTTTAAATGGAATTTGAATGATTGGGATCATGAGTCAATTGAAGCTAGACCACTATGGAAAACCTGGAAGCACTCGCGCGCGAGACTGATAGGTCCTGGGTTCGAATCTTGCGAGGCGGGATCGTGAATATGCACTGCTGAGGAGTCCCACAATAGGAAGGAACGGCCGTCCAGTGCTTGCAAGTTTTCCATGGTGGTCTAGCTTCAATTGACTCATGATCTCAACCATTGAAATTACTATAATATCCACAGAAAAAACCCTTCTAATTTAAATGGTATTCATAACCAGGCATAATTCATTACGTAAAGTTAACATTCCAATATCTTTCGTTTTTTTAAAAAATTTATGTCGATAGGAATCAAATCACAAACTACAAACAAACCATATGAGTCGGCATTCAATGCCTATGCGTTCTTCATCTCCACCTCCAAGAAGTTAGTTTTATTTTTATGTGTAATATTCTTTCATCGTTTAATAATCTTCAGCGAACATACACAAACAACCAAATACAAATTTACACACAAAATTATATCCATTCTATTACTTTAAAGTATAACATAAAAATTTCAAAAGATGTGCTAGTGTGGGATTAGATTGTAATAATGTGTATAGGTAATAGTTTGTAGTGTGGTTCTTTAATAGTTCAATGTCGACAACACGAATACAAGTACGAATCATGCTGCATTTTTTATTTCAGGTTAGATAGAGATATGCAGTAAGTATCGTTAGCCTTAGCAAAAAACAAACAGTATTTTTAGGTTGAATATATACGCATACATTTATATTTGGTAAGTAAGTTACAAAAACAACAACTCCATTTGATCAAACATATGTGAACACCCTGATATTAGTTGTGTTTAAATAAATAATTCGATCAGATTCTCAACCTTTTTTTAAAAAGGAAACAGAGTTCTTGTAAATTTAGTATCCAGATAGAGTGAATTCTTATTTTCTCAAGATTACCTACATAAAGTGTATATAAATGTACATGGGAAAAATTCCCCGGTTCAAAAACCTTACACCTTATTTGTTTTGTCTGCGCTTAAACATAATTCATATTTTTACTCAACGGTCGAACTGGTTTATTAAGTGAATATACTCAAGTAAGAGTGATCATTGTCATGTTTATCTACTCCAGTACTGGTCAGATTTTATCGATTGATTCACAGTAAGACCATTAGTCCAATTAACTATATGGCTTGCTCTATGTTGAGATATTAGTTAGTTTGAGTTAGTCGAAAGAATACTCCGGAACTAGCTTACGTGTTAGTTATCAATTGTCACCAATGTACACTTGTAATTTTTAGGGACTGGTGCTCCCTCTGTAGTTTGTACTCAGTGAAAACCCTTCCGACTGCAGTTGGATCACTCAGGTTTGAATCTGATGTGTTGACGAAAATAAACATATTTATTGTAAATTAAGGTAATATATTTGTAATATCTCAATGCGTAGAGAAGTTAAATTTTCTGACTTTTCGTGACTCAGTGTAAACCACTTCTTCAGCGAATAAATAACAATCTAACCAATCTTCAAATTACTTGAATTTATCTAATCAAACCTTAATATTGGTACCTACAAATAGACCTATTGTTTGTTTATTTTAAGACCGTAAGACAGGAGAGCAGTTGTAGTGATGTAGTCCAAGTACTGATTAATTTACTTAGACTGTCTATCTAATATCAGTAATCCTTTGGCTAACTAGTCACTCGCTAAATGTGCGATAAAAACGGACAGTGAGATTCTTGGACCAGATTGCCGGGCGAAACGTTGAATTTAGTTCAAAGTCTTTCGTTGATATTTTATAAATACATTCTTCCTCTTTAATATTCTATCAACGTTCAAAAAAGGAATTCACTTGTTAAATTATTCATCCAATACATTGACACTGTCATAACTTACTTCCTCAATGTTTTTGTGTTTAGAAATTTCTGTATTTAATATTAACACGTATATTTATATACCCTCATTCATCGGTGTCAGGTCGCTTGTCGCACAGCGGTCGGTCTGCGTCACTTGTTCGATATGAATACAATCAATACGGTAATTGTGAAGAGCAAATTGTCTATGACGATGCTAATCAGGTAATTGTACCACTTTCTTTTTCTTTTATTATGACTAGTCTGGCGCTAGTTGAACCCTACCAAAAAATTAGTCCGCTGATTCATGTACTCCTTAAGATGTACAATTTTCCTTTGAATGCTTTTTCCCAAAGTTTTTCATCCTTAATCTATTATTTAGTGATATCCTTTTAAATTTAGTTGCTTGTTGTATTTTTTGGAGCTGTAGACTTCGTGAACCTACATATGATTTGTTTAGGAATATGTTGGGGATTATTTGAATCCTCAAAAGTTGCTTGCGGTCTAACTATATCATTATTTTCTTTATAAGCGTGTATCCTTTTATTTTATCTGCCCGAAAATTCACTTGTCTGTCGTTACTTTTACCACCATAAAATGTTTTCTCTTATTGGGTTGTTACTCTTTTACTATTTCTATCCAGTGGCTGCTTACCTCATTCGTTATTCTTTAGTCTATCTCATGTATTATGTATACCCAACCACTGTCCTGTTCGACGTGTGATATTGTTTGATATAGGAATTGCACATGAGTGACTGAATATCTTCAATAAATCTTTCCATAATGATTAGTTGGGACTTAGATTTACGGTGTATCGAAATTCCAAGTTAAATGTAACTCACAATAATTGTTAAACCGTGTCAATATCCCAGAGATGTCATCAGCTTTTCAAGTAGAGTAGTTGTAGCTTGATCTCTTTGTGACTTCTATCATTATTAAGATTTCAATTCTTCAAACTTAACGTAAAATTGACTATATATCATTCGTGAACTCACTCCGGACTTAAATTATCCTGGACGCTAGTTTCATTCTATTTGATACTTGTCTCTTGGATGTACCTGGATCACACAGTCGATGTTCAATCCGAGGTTTGAACCCCCATCACCCTTCCACTATTAGTCGAATTTTATCTGTTCTATGTATTTTCATCATTACCATTTCAAGCATAATCTGTAATATTGTTTCTCATCATTTACACTGGTACAATTAACTTAGGGAATAAAATATGTATCCGTGGATTTCGTAGAGTATCTGCTTCGTTGTCTTTATTATGTGTGCTATATCTACCATTTTCCCTTTGATTTAGTAAGTGAATGTTGCATATAAGGACATGATTCTCATTGAACATTTCATTTCAATTCGTAACTTGCACTTTATCTGTTGTTTTTTCATCTGGATGTGATGTGAAAATTCTACACTGATATTGTAGCACTCACTCACTAAATTAAACTGGAAAATCTTCGAAAAAGCTAGAAATATCACATTTATTGAACATTGGAAAGGAATGTTTATCCACATATCTAATTTAGTTTTTTTTTTGTTAATTAATAATTCACTATTTTTCCAGTCCAGTTTTTACTCTTTTTTAACTAACAATTTTTCTTGATTTTTATAGCCATCAAATTTGGATCGTTCACCGTATCTACGTCGTCATGGTTCGTTTAAACCTTATGTAACACAAATGGACTCAATTGTTACATGGATTAAGTTCACATTGATACTTTTTTTTCTGTCTCATTTAAGGTGTATTTAATAATGACATTGCTTTCATGTGCGCTTCTGTTTGCCGTTCACTCTTCACATGAATTTCGACTTATTAGGTGGTAAAAATGTCATACCATTTACTGTCATCTTTTATTTAACGTAATAAGTCTTTTGACATTATCATCACACTTAGTTTATCATATTTCATTTGTCTAACTTAAATGTTGGGTATATTCTATATACATATTGGTATTACATTTCTTCTCCTTGTTTCACTATCAAACTAGTAAACTGTGAAAGTTTTAGTGCACCAACAATGAAGTTCGCGAACCATATCATACTTCAAATTATTGTCTTTGTAACTCAGTAACCAAGTCGGAGTTCAGCTACACATATTGATGTTGACGGGGTTTGTCCCGAACCTATTATCCATTGGTTGATAATTGAGCACTAACTACTAGGACACATCTTCAAACCTATTCGAAAAAATGATTTTATTAACGATATTCAGTTTTGTAGTAAATGTCAATCAATAGATTTTGATAAGTCAACAGCATTATGTAATTTCTACAATTTAAACAAGTGTAATTCCAGTAGTATCGTTCAAATGTTTAGGTTTTTTGTTGTTGAATTTTTGCCACTTTTGATATTGAAGGTTCAGGGTTTGAGTCTCGGATGTCGAATCGTGAGTGTGCACTGCCGAGGAGTCCCATACTGGGACGAAACGGCCGTCCAACACTTCCAGGTTTTCAATGGTTTTCTAGCTTAAATTGACTCATTAATTCAACTTCCGAGTAAATCATTTTCTACGAAATGTTTTAATCAGTTGTTCTCAAACACAATATATGTGTAACTCATGGTTTAGTGGGTTTAGTCAATTCGTCCTGATTAGACTACATAAAAATTAGTCATAGCAATGATATTTTGTCTTATAGTGCAATGATATCTTATATATGTTTTGTATTTACAGGTTCAAATTCTACACGACCATCTTTAGGAAGACCAACTCTCAGAGATAGATCTCTAGATAGACATCCATCTCAACGACCTGAAGGAATGCCTAGGTTACAGGTAAAAATACAAGTTAATCATTTCATTTTGAGTAGAATAATACACGTAAACATTTAAACGTGTGGGCTAGGTTTTCTGTTTTTTTTTTCTTATTGAAATGTGAATAATTTAGTTAATTAACTATGACATCATATTGAAGTATCGATTACTTTCATTGTTTCCAGCCTCCGAGCTATGAAATGAGATCTTTTATGTCAATGAGACGAGGTGAACCAGTTGGAGATGATGTAGAGATGGATAATCTTCGTAAGTGTACTACATATTTATAGTTCTTCTTTTCGACTCCTGTCATAATTTGAATGTGAATTGGACAAAAATCAATATTTATTTTAATATTAATCCGACCCAGAAAATATTCTAAAGGTTACAATTATACTCAAAATATAATAAATAAGTTAATACACAAAATTAAGCTTTATTCAAATAATAAATTTAATAAACATAACTGTAATGATTAGATACAAGTTCAGATGGACTCTTGTATTTTGTCCATAAATCATGCGTTTTAACTGTATATTGTTTATTGGTACATGACCTATATGAACAGTTTGATTATAAAATAATTCTCTGTTACATAAAGACTTTTAATCATCCTATAATTACTATACAGATAATCATTATAAATTGACATAATCTCTTAAATTTCATATGTGTAGTATAGTTTAGTATGACTATTTGGGCGTCAAACACTAATGGTTAATTGAGTTGATTTGTTCTCCTGATTAAATTAACCTATGCATAGGGATTAATACACGAGGTTCGTTGATCAACAGGTACGAACATGCGCTATCGATAAAATGGACCACAAATTATAACACAATACTTAGTTGTACTCAATTAAACATGACAAAAGATTTATTTAATTCATATTGTTTAAACTTTTTTCAAATCTATAATAATGAGATATTTAAATGATATTTTAAATTGACTGATTAAATTATTTATTTACAGGTCCAAGAGCCCGACGATCTTCATTGGAAAGATCCTTTTCTAGAGGAGAAGATTCTTCAAATCATCATGGTCTTCCTCATTCCTCTGAAAGACCATCGAGACAGGTAATTTTTGTAATGTTTGAGCTCTTTTTAGAATTAAAGTCATGATGAATTATATATAGAATAGCAGAATAAAAATGTGTTTATTGTATAACACTTCCGTTATTCATTTATTTGTTTATTTGCAGTTTCCAAGTTACGATATGAAGACGTTTGCAACTCCAAGACGAGTCGAACAAGAAGATGGTGTAGATATATTTGAATATGGTAAGTTGTACGTTAGATGTGGTGATTTTTGTTTTTACACAGTCTAACTATACTACATGCATCAATACACATCAGGGTAAGAGAGGTTGAATGATATCTATGCATGACACATAAATTTACTCGTCAACTTAGAATATGCAGATGATATAGTTTTGTTTGGTGAATGCGCTGACAAAATACTAGGTTTTCTGGCCACCTTGATCAACAATGCAAGCATATTCCTTCTGAATGGGCTTGCACGAGCACTTGAATTAATGACAAGGTGTCAAGTAGTTGGGCGTATCCACCACTTCACCTATCTCGGCAGTCTCGTCAGTCCTGATGGCATAGTATTTGAAGAAATCTCGGCACGGATTCAGAATGCTCGATCGGCTCTTACTAACTTGCGTCACTTGTGGTATAGATGAAGTATCTGTCTTCCGACCAAAGGATGAGCATACTGTTCAGCAGTTCTCTCTATTCTACTTCATGAGTGTGAAACGTGGGTATTAAGAATAAAGAATATCCATAGATTACTAGTATTCGATTATAAGTGTATTTTAGGACCACTATGTAAGCAGTGTCTAAGTCAGGAATAGAGTCCTGGGTAAGGATAGGAAGTCGATTGACGAGGTAATAAATCTTCGTCAACGGAGGTATTTCGCGAAATATGTTACCTATGCCCAACCTCTGACTACCTCAATAGACTATGTTTTCTGGAGCACGAGTAGGCTGGAGGAAATCTGAGATAGTCCAAACCAAAACATGTCATCCGTTCATGTGAACTGATTAACGATTTAATTAAAGAAAAAAAGTACTTGCTCCTCCTCAATTAAGGCTCTTTTTTCACTACTAACAATTTATGTTTGGATTGATTATTTTGAGTTAAATCGTTTCATTCATCCGATAAGTTTTATTTTTTTTAAACCCCCGTTTTTTCTTTTTCTTCTTACATAGGTCCAAGAGAAGTACGACGTTCATTTGATAGACCACCTTCTCACATAGACGATTCTCCTTTGAGCTATTCTGTTCATCGTCATTCTGAAGAGAAACGAAGATTACAGGTTTGTATTCCGTCTGTTTTTTTCTTCAAAAATAAAAACGTATCATCTTGTTATGATTATCTAGTTCACGTAAAAACCTATCTCATTACTAATGTTTAATACTTAAATTATGGAGAATATTCTCTGTTCAGGTGGATTTTTTAAGTTTGTATTGTATGTTCTCTGAGCTAAATGCTTTAAATGCATAGCTTTAATTATTGTTACTTATAATATCATTATCCGTCGGGGAGTCTCAATTCCCTCAAGATTACAAGCACACCTTGCTTACTTTCTGTAATGCTATCTATTATGAAATTAAGTTCTGTGGATGTTGTCCAGATTGATAATGAAAATAGGTAAATAACACAAAATTCATAAAAAACATTAACATTGTCCTATTGTTCTATTTTCAGCCACCAAATTATGAAATGAGATCATTTACTACACCGAAACGAGGTGAATTAAGAGATCCAATGGAAATAGATCCATACGGTTAGTAATAATGAAATATGTATATAATTATTAATCTGACGTTTTATCAAATTTTCTTTTAAAATAAAGAAATATTTGTTTAATCTAAATTATAATTAATATGTATATCATATATTTGTTGGTTTGATGTTGGGTAATAGAAACCATCGATATCATGAATAAATTCTGTTCATTATCATTATGTGAAATCAGACTTGGTCACAAGATCACCTACTGTCTGTCTCCATTTAGATCTTGAATTCTCAAGATGATCATATCATTTTTCCCATTTCTCAGATTCATTTTTTTCCTCTTCGAATTGTTTTGTTTATGCTTAATCTTCTTTACTAACACTGAAAACGTTATTAGTTCCTACGTTGTAGCTGACTGACTGACTGATTAGTTTTGTGCGACCACCACTGTATGATTACTTTATTGTCTTGTTGTCCAATGATATTCAAGCCATGCAATCCGTACATAGTAAGTTGGAAGTCAGTTTTCGTAGTTATGGCATGTGCTTTGCACCTTGTAAGTGCAAAGTACTTTGTCTTTCTGTAAGTGTTTTTGATTTCATATTGTTCCCAAGGGTTTCGTAAACCACCCTTTCTATTTTATCACATTATCACCGGTCTTACTTAAACACATTATACACGTTGCATAATATAGTCTAAATTATAGTTTATATTCGTCATAAACTGATCTTAGCTGTTGTGCCATTAAAAACGAGAAAGAACTGGACAATTGTTTCTTTTTAGTGTGGGATTTCCCAGCAGTGCACGCTCACGATTCCACCATCGATCGAACTCAGGACTTTAGAATTTTGCGAATAATTGCGTCGGTGTCCATGAATGCAATTTCACCTTGAATTAATAGTGTGACGGTCGTTTCACTCACGATATCTTTGGGTTTCAACTTCTGACAGGGTCGTAAAATACACTGTTGTAGAGTTCCATACTAGAGTGCAACATTCGTCCATTGCTTCCTGGTTTTTAGTTGACACCGCTTCAACTAAATTATCTTTTGTTAATTGTTAGATGCATCACGGGGATTAGCAGAAACCGTCATCTCTTTAAGTTAGAACTGCTGGAAAGTATATAATTAGTACCTACTCAAAAAATTATGGCTTAAAGCTATGTACACGAACTTATGAGTTAGTTTCTAATGTATAACTAACCATAAATGCTTGTACTGATCATGGTAGGTAATCTGTTGAAAGTCCCTGACGAATATGTATTACAACGTACACATAAATTATACTTTTTATATCAGTACACGGAACAGCTGAATAATTCTTCTATGTGGTATTTAACGACGAAATAGCTTTCTATCTTTAGTTTTCAATAATTTCATGACAAAACCAATGTCTTCAACGTTTAATTCGTATATGTTTTGGTGGTGGTCATATGCAACCGTTTTTCTCTCAACATATCTGAACTCCGCCAGTCGCTTCTTTATGGAGCTTCAAAAACATCTCGAATTAAGTTCGACGCCTTCTAGCTTTCAGTAACACCCTAACTGAGGTCAATTTTTGATGATGATAATAATAATAATAGTGATAATAATAATAATAACAATAATAGATGGGGGATATATGGATCTAGTTCTTACAAAGATTTGACAATTATTAATCTTGAAAATGTTGCGTTATTTTGTACAGTTGTTTACTACAACGTAGCATTTATCCAACGCTAATTTAAATTTTAAAAATTTCTGTCCATATTTCTACAGGAGTCAATCATCCGCGGTCAATACGTGACGTTCCCATGAATTACGATAATCGTGATGAGAGGCCTAAATTTCAGGTAATTACATTATTTTGCTTTTTAGTTTCTATATTTTATGTTTTTCCTTAAGTAATGCCTTAACGGTTCAAACCATTCGGCTTTGAACCACTAGCTGACGGGTTTGCACTACACAATATCTATCTCGGTCTGATCATCTGCAGGTACTTATCATTGACCTCATACCTACAAGTGTATCTGGACCATAATTTATTCTGAAATTTCTCCACATTTATCTGTTGTGTTTCTAGTTGAATTTAGGATATTGTCAATCATAGCTAAAGCCAATTGAGCTTTCTCAATTCGTGATTTCAGAACTTATTATTTAAGCAGAGATAAAGAGTGAGTACACCTAAGCTATTCTGAATAATTCTGAACCCCATGTCACCCGAACTCTAGCCATTGGTCACGGTATTCCTATAAACCACCCCATCCAAATGGTCTTCGATTCACTGTTTAATAGATTTCTAAATATCCACAAGTCAAATCTCTATAAATTACGGCTTTTGTTGCAATATTAACTATTTTGTGGTGAGAATTCTATATTGTGATCAAACATATATATTATTGAATAATGTGATCATTATTATTATTAATATTATTATTAATAATTGCCATTGTTTCCAGTTTCCAACTTATGATTTGAAGGCATTAGTTACTCCTAGACGTGGTGAACAAGACGATGGTAGGATCCATCCTGATATGTATAGTGAGTTATCCTGTAAACATTTTGTTTTGTATGTTAGAACTAAACTGAAATGATAGTCTTAAAATAAATGAAATCGATCAATCAGAATAAAGATGGAGATTGTTGAATTTATGCGCGACTTTTAAAACGGAATTACGGATGCCCTGTTACTGGATGCTTTTTTTTGATGGGATTTCCTTTTTTGGCTGATTTGGCTGGTGAAGTAATCGTAAATCACCAACAGAGTATTGAAATATTAAAAAAAGCATCTTCCATCGCTTGTGATCAGTAAATAATATGCTTCGAAGTTATGGAGGCCAGAAATGGAATTGCCTTAGGAGTATTAGGGCTTAAACTGTGGTTATGGTTACGGTCCTTAGAGGTATGGGAATGTTACGCTCAAGGTGACAGAATTGCTACCATTCCTAATCTCTACATCGGATGGTCGTTCCGTCCTATTATGGAACACCTTAGCAGTGCGCACTCACAATCTCTCACGTGGGACTCGGGCCCAGGACCTTCGGTTTCATGCGCGAACGCTTAACCTCCAGACCACTAAGCAAGTATCCGATGGTGTTAATTTCTACCTCCAGTCGATCCATAATCTTGCACAACCCTTTAGTAAATCGTCGTATGATTATGTAGGTTGGAATAAGCTTGGATGCTTATCGTTATGTATTTAGTACTTGACTTCTGAGACTAAAACTATTTGATCGTCTAATGTTGATCCTAGTAATTGCGTAAAAAACAAGGCTTCATAACAATAGATCACATAGTAATCAAATTAATGCGAAATGTTTACCGAGGACATTCATGAACTTAGTGAAGCCCTGTGACCCAGTGTTTAAGTTATTTATATTTCAACCATTGAGTCCCAGGTTTAAAATCTGTCTCACTTTCTTCGATTTGATTGGAGGGGGTAGTGTTAATTAACCTTTTAAACCTGGTTCATGGATTTATGCATGTTGCATCAGATATATACTCAGTTTTAAACCATTTGGTTTTTGTCTATGTGCATGCTAGTAATACTAATCCTAACTACCCAAATCGAAATTGTTGGTGCTAGATTCAAACCAATTGCTCTAACCACTAAATCCCACTTGTATATTGACTACGGGTATGAATAATGTTAGGGAGTTAATGTTAAATAGTAGCCTCTCAGAAGTATCTGGAATATAAAGAGTTACGTTTCTCGTTTCCGATTGAATATTTACCCATACTACTGATGATAGTGTTATATCCAATATACTTTTCAATAAATTAAACTGTTTCCATTAAAAAAAGCATCCTGATATCTTAGCAGTTAAATTATTATATTACAAAATGTTATCTTCAGTTACTTTACTCAATCTCTAAATTATTATTTTCCCAGTCAATGTTTTCGATAATTCTTCTCTTTTTTCGATGTTCATCGAACCTTTTTTCTTTCAACTTCAGAATATCATCTGTATTATATGTATATCATGATTTTCTGTCTTACCTACAGGTTCCTACAGACCCCGACCCCCACCACCACCACCTTCAATGCGTACTTCACACGGTGGGCGCAGGTCCATGACAACCGAGAATCGTCAGTCTCCGCCACTACCAGCTATTCCTCCTGTTCGTGAGCGCAAATCGGTATGCCTCTTATATTAATTGTCATTTGTGTGTGTGATGTTCTATTATTGTAAATGTTTGTTCTTTAAGTGAAGTATATCAGTTCTCAAAACTTATCTTTGGCTGAGAGTGCATAGTTTAAGGATGAGCTTTAAACCATTGTGACGAATTTTCAACAAGTTGTCTTACCCAGCCAGTTCGAAAAAACACTGTAAACGAGTAGTTTTTATGGAAAAAAATAATATTACAGTGCGCGAACACATGACACATTTAATGAATCTATTAACAAAATAGAGAGATTTGTGTAGATTGTAGAATCTTTATACCTTTTAGGTCACAAAATAATCTTAGCTAAATCTCCATCGAAAAATTGGAAGCATTGAATGTGGCTCATATTAGAATGAAACGGTCTAGCCAAGCATTTCTTAGAGTTCTAGTGAGAAGAGTTCAGCCATGTCGGTTATTTGACAGTTATCTACCCCAAGCAACGAATGACGGTTGCGCAATATCATGGATTAATTTAAGTTAGATAATAATACCTTTGGATCCGCCATAATGGCTTAAAGATTAAGTATTAGCACGGGAGACCAAAGGTCCCGTATCTGGAGTCGTGGATCTGTATTCCTAAAGAAGTCCCATACTAGGATGAAATGACCGTCTAGTACTTCCAAGTTTTCTAACCAAGATCATTTCGTGATCTAAGCCTATGAATATCTATTAACTGTACATTCAATTATCAATTTTCAAAAGAAATGTAACATGATATTTATTTCATGTTATCCCTCTCTCTAGATGGAAAATCGTAGTCATGAGAAAAGAACAGTACCGTTGTATTTCTTAAAGAAACCCTTTGACAAAAGTACTAGAATTTTATGTGCTAAAGATAGAATTGATAGAGCTAAAGAAGGCATACTTATTGTAAGTTTGACACATTTATTATCTCATTGTTTTTATTGTATATATATAACTGTTATATTATGTTGCTTGCTGAAATCAATGATTACATATTGTATGTATGTTTTGTAAATTTTCATTCACTTGAGAAAAAAAATACCAGAAAACTTACAACTGACTAGCCTAGGCAATTCTTAATTGTAACCTTGCGAAATCCTACCCAGAAAGCAGATGATTTGAACAACTCTAAATCTAATTCACTTGATATTGTTTTACTTGAATCTTCCCATTGATGTTTTTGGATTGAAATTGATCAGTCTCTTATCAAGTGAACTTCAACCCATTGCACAAGCAAGTGGCTATCAGGACTCAGTAGCTAAGTGGATAACGCGATGGCGTTTGAAGCGAACGGTACTGAGTTCGAGTCCCAGAGTGGAAATCAACTCTGAGATGCAGGTACATCCAGCTGACGAGTCCCAAACAGGACGAAACGCGCTTCCTGGATTCCACTGATAGCCACTATCCATCTTTGCTTATAACTCTAAATCTAGTTTTGTCTTAGTCAACATTTTATATGGGTTTTTCGCGAATCGTATTTATTTGTTATGGTGTATTTGACAATTAAAACCATGTATTAATATAGTTAAATCGATTAAATAAAATTGAACCCTTACATCACTCGGCCCATATAATCATTTTCTCATAACAGACATGGAGCTCATAGTAACCAGATTAACATTAGAGTCTAGATCACGATACTTGATCACGTGATACTCACAATCACTCACTTATCCGACCGTCCGGTAGAGCAAATCAGAACGATTCCTGATGGAAATACAGTATAGAGAAATTGCTAACTAGGACCAACGTGAAATGAACTTTACAAAATAAAATAATCTCTTAAACTTCATGTAACTGAATATGTCTGTTTATCATTCACGATCAATCACAATCACAGGCTACTTTGATTGGATATATCATTGTCACAATGTCCTAAATTAATTCAAACTGTTATAGTCTCTTCATCACGGGCAACTATTGAAAACCAAGAATCACTAGACATATGTCTGGTGTTCCTCAGTCCATGTGCACATGCATCCGCTTGTGATCGAACCCATTGCTTTCAGATCTTACAACAAACGTTTTAAGACACTGTGCCAGCATCCAATAGTTTAAATATGTTAATTTCCACTGATTTATAATCTCTCTCTGTGTTTCTTATTTCCAATTATTTTGAAATTTTCTTTCATTTCATGTAAATCATCAGCGAAGAGTACGTCCACATCGTAAATATTGCGATATTTGTGAAAGACGATTTACAACGAGGTTGAAATTGGCCAAACATTTACAGTCTGAACCTCATAATAAGAATCTAAATTTGTTTAAAGAAACAATCGCTAAAATTAAACAAGACGAAGGTGATGATTCCTCCACACTGAATGACTGTGTAAGTAGATTAACTTCAAAGGTTTGATTAGTTTTTTTAAAAATAAATTGAATACATATATGTCTTAAAGTATGTGTTAGAATGAAGAAATGGAAACTTTTCCATACCTGAGCAGTATCATTGATGCACAAGGGGGATTTGATAAGATGTAATGGCATGGATCATCAAAGCAAAGCAGAATTCTACAATAGAAAAACATGGAACCCAAAACACTTGTCAGTTAACATCAAGGTTAGAATCCTCAATATGAATGTCAAAACAGTTCTGTTGTATGGAGCTGAAACTTGAAGAACTACCACAACCATAATCAAGAAAGTACAAGTATTTATCAACAATTGTCTACTCAAGATACTTAATGTCCGTTGATCAATTACCATCAGCAACAACCTACTGTGAGAAAGAACAAACCAGCTTCCAGCTTAAGAGGAAATTAGGAAAATACGCTTCAGGTAGTATTATTATTTCAACTCATAAATATCGGTACAAGAGGGCACCAAATATATATGCGCCACACCATATTTGTGTGTGTGGGCTGTGATACTGCCCGAGTGCCCAGACCGAAGCAGGTGGTTTTCTTAGGGGGCCACACCCCGAGCCTTTGACCTAAAGGTCTGATCCACAAGGCAGTGGAACATCGTGAGGAGATGCATTCCCATGGTAGCCGGTGACCAGCGATTGATTCATACGCCATTTGTTCCCGCAGGATACTGGAGCCCATGTGCTTCAGGTAAATGAGAGATAGATTGCGGAAATCATCAAATTTTATCACAAAGCAAGTGCCAACATGAAATCCTGAAGCGAAACAGAAGATTGGAAGGTCAAAGAACACACTGCATCGAGAATTGAAATCAAACATGAGAAGGATTAATAGAAACTGTAAAGCATTGACCAAAACAGAGTTCTATGGAGAATTCTGGTTGGGGGGACCTGTATTCTTACTCAAGGGGCAATAGACAATTAAGTAATTGGAACAAACATTACTGGGTTCGTGTCCCCTAGTAAACATCGACTCTGGAGTAAGTAAGTACTATATGTTAGAATAAACCAGCTCCGTTTGATATATAATATACAAGTGAACTTTCCATTCACCTCATATGTTGTAATGCCAACAGACACAAAAAGTATGCTTGCTATTTTATTCAGTGAAATGTTCATGAATTCGGTGCTACTTTTATACATCTAAGAAGATTATTTTCTCATTATTTTTTGTTTTAATACATATAAGAGAGAAAGGAAGAAATCCATTCAAAATTTGTTTATGGTCTTATCATAACATTAACATTACATTCTCATTGTGTTTTTTTTATTAGTATGAAGGGAAAACACCTAAAATCTATTGTGGTATATGTAAAGAAACATTCATCAATAAAACACGTTATATGGAACATTTAAAATTCAGACGACATAAAGTTAATTCTCGAATTTATGAGGTATATAAAGCAATAAAAAATAATACAGAGGATAAAACTATAAAACTACCATCTGATGATCCATTGGAATCATTTTGTCTTTATATGAATTCAGGTATGTTTATGTGTAGCGTGTGTATGTGCCATGTTTATTTTTCAAGTTATCAAAATGTTTTTTTCTGTGTTTACCAGCTTGGACTCTTAAAATTAAAGACTTAGTTGGGAGCTGGAGAAGGCCTATGATCAATGTCTGGAATGGTAGTTTTGTTAGTGGTTCAGAGATTCGCTTTTCACACACTATGTCCCAGGTCCAAACCCCACTACACTTCGCTTTGGGCAACCGTATATTATCATTAACATGTGCCCTAGGATCTGGTGACTGAGTTTATTTATAACTCACATTATTTACGTATGATAAATGTGGAGACCTGCACAGCTTGCCAAAATTAACCGTTACGAAGGCTAAGACATCTACGGCAAATTGGTGTCTTAGTAGTTGATGCACTCGTTTCTCGACCAAATAGGTCTCAATTCTAACGTCTCTTTGCTCCACGTTTTTCGGTTTTGACAACCGGTTGGTAGTACACTCAGCCCTAACGCATAAGATTTGGGCTTGAAGTTGAGTACACAGACCTCTGTATACTCGGCAAGGGGGGAGTTGCTTCAATTTGGTGGAAATCACTTACGTATCAGATTATTTAGTGTCAGTTAGGATGACATTCACAATCTTTGCATCATATTATATGTATATGCGTTTTTTAAAGTTTTGTTAGGGTTAACATTCGATTTAATCCTGCTATTTAGTGGGATGTAGCGTAATGGTCAGTTATTCCAGTCACCAGCGACGAAACTAACACGAATGTGTATTCGTTCAACTTGCTGCATCTCACATAATCGAAAGGGAGAATTACCGATTTGTGATGCTAAGCAAGAGGATCAATTCCAGTCTCAATGGAAATCACAATAAGTGGTATACAATTCTAAAGTTAAGAATGGCACAAATTACGATTCATAGAAAGATGGTGAAGTAATGCAACTTTGAACAATACTCCCCCATGTCACTTAATTTTTGCAACTATATATATTACGATGATTGAACGGGCTTGCTCGCAAACTGAATTCCGTATCTATATCAAGATGTTGCCGATACCTACATTTAGTGACTTCGTGAATTGATGGTTATGTCTTGGTATGTCAGCATTGATTTTCTCTCAACTTGTTGCTACGCTAGCCAACATTGTATGTGTTGGCAGGGGGATGGTTAGTCACGAGTAACGCATTTGCTAACTATCTCAGTTGATGAAAGTCTTTAGCTCCATTAAATGGCTTACACTTTTACCGATTTCCTTTTCCCTGAACGGAACATTTATCACTTGGTTGTTCGATATTATGGTCGCAAAACTTCAGAGACGTATTAATGGCTTATTATGTATATCCTCTGCTTTGATAGACCATATTTCATAGCTTTTGAGTAATACAAAGCAGACTACTGTGCAGCATACTCATTCTCGGAGTTGGGAGACGAATACCTGACTCACGCTACATGTAGTCCAGTTTGATGAAGTAACCAAACGCTAACACACCATATGGATTACTTCATACTGTTCAGTGTGTCTCACTACAAAATTATATTTCTATGTAACTCACTAACTATTGAGTATATTATCATATTGTTGCCTGTTTGGTGACGGATTATTTCAGTCTTAACATGAGATGCTTGATCACTGTCTAAAGTATGAGTATTCTTCTCTACTTATCTATTCACCCTCGACTCAGACATGTTGAAATCTTGGAGGATGTGTGTCTTTTGCGGAATATGTAGTAAGTAATACTTTACTGCTGGTTAATAACAATAACTCCTCTACAAACACTTCAATCTTGAGTTGAGGTGGTGGCTTACTGTTGGCTGACCCCAAGTCTGTAACACCAGTCTACAGATTGCAATTAGTTCTTTTCTTTTTCTACGAAGAACTGGTATACACAGCATAAATTTATTCAGTATTTATATGAATAACAACGTGACAATATATGTGTCTATGCATATTATCATCTCGCTTATATACTCGCATTGATGTTTGAATATAATCTCATGCTTTCTCCCTCCTTTTAATTGCGAAATTGAATTTTTCCTTAGATGCGCATACTACTTTGTTTGGTGAGAAAGCGGAGGAAACTACCATTACTACTACTAGTAGTGATAATAATGATAGTAATACAGTGTCTTCTACTGTTCCAGACTTCTCTAAACAAAAGATATTCATGCGTAAATATTTAGACTTAAGACATTTATTGTATGAAGAACCTGGTCCCGCAGGTGAAGAATACATAGACGAGGTAAATTTGTCCGTGTGTGTATGTGTCTGATAATGTAATATTTGTACACAAGTCCGTAAACGCAGCCATACAACTACACTGTACAACTGTAAAGCCGAAGTTTGTCAGCTTTCTCTTGGTTTTAATAACGTATGGATACAATACCTAGTCATTGGTATACATAATGTTTTGGATAATAATAGTAGTGCTTTGGCGTCTTACTCTCTATTTGGATCACATAATTCGGCACATTATTTATCTGTGAATATATGCCCAAAGCACAGTACTTCTAGCTACAGAGTCTGTATATACACTGGGCTGAAATATTAACTCTAAGTGATCGGTCATATTTACTATTTGAGCAGGTGTAAATCGGGTTGTTCATATTTTATATGAAATCCTATTGTTTAAAATATCGAATCACACTTCAAACATACGTGTTTGATAGGTTTCGACAAGTGCCCAGTTAAAATATTTTTGATTGATCACTGAGTTGTGACCATTGTCATGTATGTTAGGCTTTCCTTAGTGCTGATCGAGTTCTATCAATCAAGTTCTTATGTGACCTCTAGCCTCAGTGACTCGACATGTGCACTATGTTGAGACGTAAGGTGATGTTTGAAAATAGTCGACATTAGAATCTTGACCTTGACTTTGTGGTATTTTGGGCTTGTGAGTAGAGTGTAGTCTAAAGGGAATCGATGGTTGATCAATTGTAAGTACAGGTCACTTGCGGTCAGAACAACTCAGTTGTAACCTGTCTGAGTTGAAGATCAGAATTGTATCCATCTCGGAACATCATTTCCATCATGATCACAGGTACACCTTGCTGACAATTACCGAATAGCACGAAATCTAGTTCCACAGTCTCCTGTAGACTATTTCCAACAACTGCTTTGAATAAATTATCTGTTAGTTATCACTTTCTCTAATTATGTTTCTATACACCGTTGAGTTTATATTTTACGAAACGAGTGTGAGTACCTTATTCGGAATTTCACACAACATAATATTCTTAACGTATTGCGAAATTCTCTCAAGATGCTTAGTTTTCACTGTTGCTATGGATCATTTGAGATGACAAACAACGCTGATCTCATTTAAACACTTGAAGAATAGCAATAAATTGCTATTTATTTATCTGTTATCACAAATGATGATAATTAATTATAATTTCAAGTCAAGCAGAATGTGAATAAAATATTTGTTGCCAAAAAAACCCTACGATAATTCATGTAAATAATAAGGCTAACAATAAATGGATGGGGACTGAATTCATAGTATGAACGATACAAGAATTCGTCCATATGATTTCAAAACACTATGTTTGTACATATTTAACAAGTTCGAAGATAATCTTCTGACAATACCACCTGGCTTCAATATTATTTATATCTGCATTTGTCATTTGACGAAGAAAAAAAGTAGCATTTGTGAACGATCACTCGATAATAACAACTGTGCCGGTGTAGACACATGTAATCACTCCATTTATCTATCTATATCATAGTTCTTGGTTGCATATACTCCATGATGATGGGTAATGGTGTAGAAGCTATCCGTTTACAAATATATTGATAGCGGTCTTTTTGCAAGTTTATCCGCTATAATACCGAATCTACTTCAACACCTACTACTCTTGCCACTGCACTGCGATATGGATTATGTCTGATAAGGGGTGACAGTAGTAGTGGTAACTGGTACTCTGAGAATCCATCAAATCACGATCTGGTATAGTTTCAGTTTCGATTGAACAGAAGAAGGTACTCTTTTGAACAAACTTTTTCAACCAGCATGTATTGCTGCGTAATATCACTCCATGCCTTGTCTTTGTACCTCTTCTAGTTGTCGCTAAGTATCTGTTGTCATATAACATGTTTTATGTGTGTAGCCTAATATGATGTATTACTGTATTACCACTAAAATCGGCCAAAATATGTTATTCGCTCAACTTTCCCGCCTCAATTTTACCCTGTGACCTTGAAAATGCTAACTGACGCTTCATTGGATCATCAATAGACTTTTGCGTCATTCGAATTCGTTACTGATCACTGTTCGGGATATTGTAAACTCTATTCACGATAAGTGTGCAAACAGATATGTACTTCGTTTCAATTAAATCTGTTTAACTGAGTTATTTTGTAACTCATGCACGCTTTGCTCATTATGTGGTAACAACCGGTCATTCTCCTGCCAATCAAGAACGCAATACTTGAAATCTAGTTTTTGGTTAGCTCATTATTCAAACATCGATTTTCAAAATGAATCATTATATCAGTATTCACGGATAATTTATTCATTTTAACTCATTTACCATGTACTTACATGCAAATTCGGCTTTTAGAGTTACATTATTTCAATGAATGCTACTCAACATCGAAAGAAAAACCAGTTGTTATATAATGTTAAAACTGGTTAGTACATACAAACAAAGCAGAGCGATTTGGTAGTAGTAGTAGTACAAACTCTCTCCCTTTTCAACCATTATAATTTATATTCCTCCTACTAACTTAGTTTCATCAATTAAGTAGTATCATTACCACTTCTTATTTAATTAAACAATGCAAATCTACATATACACTTAATAAACCTTATCATGAATACTTCACCATTGGAACATTTGATCTATTTGAAAAAACAATTCGATAATTATCATTCCTATTTCTTATTGTAGAATAGTAGTTGTTAAGGGGACTTGATTATTCTTACATGGATATTATTGAACGCAAATTGTTTGAAGTATTAATTTCACATGACTCTCTCTGTCTCTGGGCATAAATTCTCTTGCTTTTTTTTCCTATTTTTATTCCTCATTTACAAAAATTACTAAATACATAAATTTTCTTTCTTTTTATGATCCAATTCAATTGAAGTTGGATCAATCAGCGGTAAAAGAGAACAAACTATATTGTTGCTCACTTTGTAATATGAATATATCCGGTGTGGATAAGTTAGAAAATCATTTACATAGTGTTGCTCATCAAGAACAGTATAAATCACGTGTTGATCCACAGTGGATTGTTCAAAAACCTGTTGCATTATTATCATTCAATGATGTAGTCTTTGATGTTTGGAAAGCTTGTAGAGATAAACATTCAAGAGTAAGTAAATCGTTATTTTTTTCTAAAAAAAAGGATTGAGTATTTTTCAGTTGGTTGTTAAAGTATAAATTTTTGTATTTGTTAGATAAAGATAAGTTCCCCATATTCGTAAGTTACTGTTATTCGATCATAGATGTAACTACGAAACATTGCTCGTGCGTTTTGGGACCACTGATTGTCTAAGTCAGGAATAGAGTACTAGGTAAGGATGGGAAATCAATTGACGAGGTAATAAATCTTCATCAACGGAGGTGTTTCGCGAAATATGTTACCTATGCCCAACCTTTGACTACCTCAATAGACTATGTTTTCTGGAGCACGAGTAGGCTTGAGGAAATCTGAGATAGTCCAAACCAAAACATGTCATCCGTTCATGTAAAGTGATTGACGATTGGACTAAGGAGTCATGTTAACACGTGTAGGTTATCTGTTTAGGATCCACGTTATTATCGTAAGTAATGATTAGAGAGTTTGAATGACTGAAAATTGTTTGTAATGACGCAAGTGCATCGATCCTTTGTGTTTTCCTAAATTCTGGGTTTCAGTATTCCTGACAGATTTTTTTGTGTTTTTATTTCACTAATTTATATATTCCTGAATTGTATCTTTTATGCTTAACCTTTCCTACTACCACTGATAATGTTACTATTTGTATTCTGGGACATGACCTGAAAATTTCAACTGTGTTAATGGGTTATGGTAACTTGAACCGATGTCCATATATACTAGATTCTATGTGCGGCTGACTAACTTGTTTGCACATATTGAGACCATTGAGTTATAGTTTATGAAATGAGCACAGAGTAAATTAGAAACGGATAGGAAATCCACTGATGATGTAGTCAATCTTTATCGATCGAGACGGTTGGCACATGTAGCATGTTTCCTCACTCACCACCTACCTTGAGTCGTAGTGATGGCTTATGTAGAAGTAGGTTGAGAAATGCTAAGACGACCAAACCAACACATGTCATCAGTTCATGAAGACACTATATTGGACAGAGCTGTGTAGGCAGTTGTAGAATACCCGGTTGGAATTTGCATGACTAGTTTAACCTATCGTGGAGACCTTGTGACATGGCTCACAATCGTTCAGGTATATTCATTCTTTATCTTCTCTTAAATCCTAAGTTTTTAGATTTTTTAATAAATTTTCTTTTAGATTATATCACTAATTTGTATTTCTTCGTATCATATCTTCGATGCCTTATACTTTCGATTATCAACAGTACTGTTAATATTTCTATTACTGTGTGATTTGCCCTGACAAATTCATTTCGCTGTGCTAATAACATATAGCAACTTGAACCGATATACACATGTGTCAGATTATTATTATTATTATTATTATTATTATTATTATTACTTTAAAATATTAATTCACCGAAGCCCCATATTGACAATAATCATGTCTAAATGTACTGATTATATTTGATCTCTTCCCATGTTCACAAACTTTACCCTTTTCTATCTTTGTCACTTTGTTTTTATTTTTAAAAAAATAGGATATGCGAACTGTCGAACGAACTAGTGTTAATCTACAATGTGTATGTTCTTATGACATCAAAACTTTCGATCAATTTAAACAACACTATCCAAAAATATTTCCACAAAATATTGTTGTAAAAGATTCAGATATGCATGCTGCAGCTGAGAATGCTCGAAGAATTCGTAGTTACAGAAATATTTTTCGTGAATGCATTGTAAGTTTGTTAGTTGTGTTAATATCATATATCTATTGTATAATTTATCATATATTAGTATATATCACTTCACTTATTTCTTCAAAGTGGTTGCCTTCTACTAAAATTATTTTCATAGACAATTGTCTAAAATATTCAGTTCATCAATATTTGATAGGTAATTTTGTTCACAGAGAGTTGAAGTTACTCGTAAGCTACTAGTATTTGACCACAGATGCATTAGAAATATTTCTGGAATCTGCTGGCATCGGGTAAGTAATAGTGAGGTTAGACGCATTGTATTAGGGATTGATGATGAATCAGTTGACGAGGTTGTGAGTCTTCATCAACTGAGGTGGTTGGGCCACGGGTTGCGTATGCCTGAACACCGATTACCACAACGTGCAGTGCTAACCGGTGTTAGGGATGGTTGGAAGAAAGTTAGGGGCCATGTTGGTAGATGCAGACTACTTGGTTAGGGTTTGCGTGACTATCGTAACCAATCGTTGGAGACTCTTGGTGACGTGGCTCAGAATCGATCACAATGGCGTAGGTGCATACACTCTGTCTTCCCTTAAACTGTGAGATTAAAATCGCTTCATATCTTTGTTTCTACTAATTCTTTCTTCATTTACTATGTCCTTATATGCAAACTTTCTTTCATATATTACAACCACTGAATGAACTACTATGAATCCGGTGTTCATGTTGTTTTGCTAATGATGTATGGCAACTTGGACCAATGCATATATATGCTTGGTACTATGTTGTAGCTGACTGACTGACTTATTCACAGAGAAAATAATCTTTCATGTGCTTCTTGGTTATTTATTTATTTAAACACATAAACATTGATACAAGGAGGTACCAAATAGATATGCGCCACATCAATCATTCGATTTATGTGAGGGCTGGGATACTGTTCGGGTGCCCAGACCGAAGCAGGTGGTTTTCTTAGGGAACTACACTCGGAGCCTTTGGCCTAAAGGTCTGATCCACAAGGCAGTGGAACATCGTGAGGAGATGCATTCCCATGGTAGTCGGTGACCAGCGATTGGTTCATACGCCATTTATTCCCGCAGGATACTGGAACCCATGTACACCAGTGGTTTGGAATCAGGGTTTTCCAGCTGTCCTAGGTGGATCCTCCGTATCCACCAACCTGGTTAAAACACCGGACACAACATCACCGTTATTCTGTCACTTCATTATTGTATATTCTATTCGTGTCATTTTATAATTCATTTATTTATTCGTTTTATTCTTTTTTCTGTTTTTATATGTTGTGATCAATAAATAGAATATATTGAAGTTGTTCACTTTACCGAGTGAGACCATCGCAGCGAAACGAGCGTTTGCAATGAAAGCAGCCAAAGCCAGAAGTTTTAATAATACCAATAATGCTAAAGTGTCATCATCACCAACACGATCACCCCCACCGTCGACGACAACACCAACTGAATCATCTCATTTGGACAAACCAACTCTGCAATCTTCTGCCATAAAAGAGGAAAATAAGGATAAAGAGGAACTAGTTAATTCGTCAATGGATACTAGTCTTCCTGCTCCTCCGGCTACCGTTGCAGTCATCACTACTCAATCCGAATGAATGGTATACATGAAAACTGTTCATCAAGCAGACATGAAATTTCTCTCTCTGAGTCTCGCTTGTCTTTTTGTAATGTGTTGAATGGACAGTAAACTTATACCTGTGCATTTATGTTATTCACACTGCTAAATTGATTATTCCTAGCGTTTGTGGCAATAATAATTATTATGGTTATTAATATAATTGCTAATGTGTCTAGCACAACATGTGACGGGCTGATACTGATACACAGTATGTTACGCGCTAACCCCCTCCCAATCGACTACTTGAGCGAGAACACAAGAGTGAGTGAAAGAGTGTATTTAGCTACCGAATGAAATGCAAAAATACTCGTTCGTATATATATATATATATATATATATATATACTATAGTCCCTAGGAAATTGGTCCATTTTTTAGTCAATGAAATGCACTTGCCCGTTAAGTGAATTCTGATTTCCATCGATTGATCTTCTCATTAGGTTACTTCTGGTTGTCTCTCCATATAATCTCTCCTTACTCAAAAATAAGTCTTGCCTCTTGGATTTAACTGAAGGAGTTGAAAGAAATGTCGTTTTCTTGAAGTCTGGCCATCACTTCTTCCACCCTAATCCTGGTGGTCCAAACTGGCTATATCAATTAAATAATCTAGTAGCAATTCGAGCTATGAGGTTCTTTATCCGAATTTAATCGTCTAACACATGTGTGGTTTATATGTCATCCATTAGGAAACTGATGTTCAATTCTCTTCACCTTGGTTTTATAACCTCGTTTTCTTTGTGGATATGAAGTCGGTATATTTCTATTTTTCAGCTTCATCACGGTTGATAATCCATTATCTTTAGAGAGGCTAGAGTAGGAGAGATAAAAAAATTGTTAAGGAGAGCCGTAATTTTCTTTTTCACAGTATTATTCATAGTGGTTGTTATTGTAAGCCACCTACCTGACGCCAGTCAATCTAAATCCTGATGAAACATTAGACATATTGTAAACAGCGGATTGAATATGTGATGAATTTGGTACTGCATAGATCGATATAGGTCTAACGTTGTTTCAATATTCGATCAGTGAGATCGACAAATAATTACATTCTATGCTGATAAAACCTTATAGTTAATCATCTGAGTATACACGAAAGTAGGCAATAGCGTTGTAAGATGTTAAGCTTAAAATAACCGTGAATTTGACATTTATTGACATCCTCTACAAGTTAGTCTGTACATGAATGAAAAGAATGATCTATGAATTTGTTAAAATGATGATAGATTACCTGTCTTTTCTAAACCTTTACAAGGACTGAAATACATTTCTCTAAGTCCCCCGCGTAGATCTCAGTTAGGGTTAAGATTTTCATTTGTGAATTTCTTACTGAAAACCTATGAATCACGTGAAAATAGATTGATGACTTACTTTCATAAATAGACAAGGTATTGGCTAATCCTGACCTTAAGTCCATCAGAGTGTTTGTGAAGTTAACTGATTTGCCCAAGATCATTAGTTTAGTGAATTCAATTTGTCACATTTGCCGAATATGAAATTGATACACACTAAACATCAAGACATCTTAATTTGTACATGCCTAGGTAATTCATGTTACAATACTGGGTAATAGGTTTATAAACGGTCAAAAATAACACCAGTCAGTGAGTTATTAAGAAATAAACTGACTAAATAGAAGGTAAACATTTCAATAGTTGAATTCATGAGTCTAGAGGTTAAGCGCGCGAGACTGAGGGTCCTTGGTTCGAGTCCCGCGTATGGGATCGTGGATGCACACTGCTGAGAAGTCCCGTACTAGGATGAGACGGTCGTCCAGTGGTCTAGCTTGGATCGACTCATGAATTCAACTATTAAAATATAAACATTTGTTGACTTTCAGTAGAATCGGTTTTATACTTCTATGGTAGTAAGCGCATTGAATATCGTCATCCTATTAGCCTTAGCTGCTGTGGTGTAGACAATTAATCAACTAACATGAAAGTATATGTTAATTTAAGCGACTGTATGTCCGTACATCGATCTTTGTCTATCCTCTTCCTATTGGTTATAAAATACAGATAGTCAATCAATGACCATAATTGATTGACATTCATAAAGTACACACATTTGAGCATTTTTACTCACACGCACATGTACACACGCATTCAGTTCTCAGTGTGATTGGTTGCCTCTCTCTCTCTCGTGCTTGTGGTTTTTATTGATTATTAGCAAGACACTGTTCGAATAACGGCTGTTCTGGTTATTGAATATTTATTCTCAAATAAATTCATATTCCTACGGTGTATGCTACTTATGTTTGTCGACATAAGAGTAGTGTGTAACACCAATAGGAAATGGAAAACTTGATAGCAGAATTATTATTATTATTATTATCAGCTTTATTCAATATTATATTTTTGGTACAATATAGAATTCTCAGCGTAAAGTATTTCAACAAGTTTCCGTTTCTTTCTTCTTGGTCGGTCCTGGCTATAAATATTGAGTAATTGCCAGTTAGATGTTAGCAGTTCACTAAATGAACATCTGAATAATGTGCATTCTTTCCGTTGTACATTGCCAGCAACCACATTGTCTCTTATTGAGTTTTTTGTAACTTTGACAACGAAAGGTTGTACACTTTTCAGAAATGCACCAGCATAGGTTATGCGATTAATAAACATAGTGATATATTAAAACAAACAAAAATAGATAACTTGTTGAAATATCTAGATGGCAGGAACAGGTAGCCCAGATGATCAAGCAGGCCGCCCTTGCCTAAGTCTGTGGGGGTCAACTTGAAAAAAACAGAAAGTAAATATGAATTAAAAGAATCATACAGTATGTGAAGGAGAAATGATGGAAATTTGTCAAATGGAGTATTTGATGTATGGTTCTTATATTTTGCCAAGAGATTCTATAATTTTGTACATTTGATTACCCCCACCTATGTTCTTGTTCGTTACAGTGAATTAACGGGATATCATAGAACTAGGGTCAAATGGAAAGGAATTAGCCTCTACGTTTGTACATTTTTTGTTTAGTCACCTATTTCTAACAAAGGCTATTATTAAAATTTCTCTCTTTTTGAAATACTTATCCACGAGCCCACTGCTGGTGAAACTCACGACATTTAAGCTTCTCTGAAATTATTCAGAATTCAGTACATTAGTAGTGCTTGGGACACAGGTTTTTGAGAGTCTTAATAATAAATAGTTCTCGTGAAATTCATTGTGTAACTACCCTCTTACAGAGTGAATTTACTGTCTATTGTGGTGTACAATGAAACATATTGCTTGCCAATCTCATATATACATTAGACATTTTTCTATGATAAAACCTAAAAGTCACTCTTTCCAGTGACATGTGCTTTATTTCAAATGATTAAAACAAGAATGAATCAATCAAACCGACCTTAGAGCTTTGGTTGTGCAACTCAAAAGTGCATGGATTTCATCAGTTAAAGTGTACTATAAAAATTGCTAATAAATTTCTAAGTTCTTTCGAAAGCATCCAATTCTTGTCATTATAAAGTAAACAGTGATAACGTCTAACACTTCACATAACACAGATCAATTAGTGACGTTCAGTTTTAGTTCAAAGAAATCGTAGTGTTAGGAGTCAATTGTTGAGGTAATGTAGTAAGACTTAATGACGACAATTTCAATGTAATAAACGATTAATTAGAATGTTCATCTTGAGCAGTGAAATTCGTTTATACTTGCAGTAACAAGGTGTTGTTTGGAAGTAGTTGACAGGAAACCCTAAACCTAGGTTTCATGTACCTTCCCGACAGGTGCCAAACACCTAAAGTTAAGATTATCCAGTGAGGGTTAGATTGAGGTACAATAAAAAACACCATTAATCACTAAACCATCAAAACCTTGTGAATATAGAAGAAATATCGATCAACATTTAGCAGGGTGATGACAATATGATTTCATATAGATAGCTTTTAATATCCAGTCGATAATACTCAAAGAGATCGGTAGTTTCGAAATAATGATATTCTACGAAACACTACTACCACTATTCTATAAAACACTTTAGTATATGCAGTAATGAGGCGTGAGTTAAACGACGCACGAATTCACATAATCTACAGCCACTTGACATTAAATTTTATCTAAATGTAACTAATGAATAGAGAATTTTAATGACGAACCAAAATGTCAGTTTGAATAATTTCGACAAGTACTTCCATTACTACTTATCTACACGATTTGAGTAATATGAATTTCTCGATTAATGAGAATGAGTGCTATTTTCGCATCAAATATTATGCCTTGGATGACATTGCGTGTGATATTACAATTAAATTAAGTAAACCATAAGATGCCCCAGAATTATACGATGATTTAAATTCAGACATCACTTGGACTCTGTACTACCATTCCTAACTCTGCCAAGTTCACCTTATTTATTTATTTTCTTTGAACACATATATATTGGTACAGGAGTGCGCCAAAGATATATGCGCCACACAAAACAATGAGAATTTAAGAAGGAGAAAAGAAAAAAAGTAAGGAACGTAAAAAAAGCAATAACGAAGAGATTGGTGTAAGGAAGTGTAATAATGGTAATAGTGGAGGAACAGAAAGGTACAATCAGAAGAAATCTTTCAGTTAAGGAAGATACAACCACTTTTTACGAAGATAGTAAAAGAAGGTTACAGCAGGATCGCCACTGGCTTCTATTATGAGCCATATCTGATAACGTCTCTAGCCACTGTGTAGCACCATCTCTCGGACCCCAATCAGGGAGTCGTGAAGGACAAACACAAGTCAGCCCTTTGCATCTTTCTTTCATACCACGATGCTATGTCATACACTGACAACCTCTCCGCTTTTTCTAACCAGTCCCAGAGTCGGCAAATAATGCACGATGCGGAATTATCTGGGACGACATTCATAGAACATGTCCAAGCCACCGAAGTCGGTGTTTCAATATGGTGACACCAATTGCATTATCGTCTCTGTGTTCGAACACACGATGCCGAACCTCTGCATTACTGACATGGTGTTGCCACTGGATGCCAGCAATC